GGTTGTAAGCACAAAATGGTTCAAAAATGTATTATTGAAAACCTCACATGCTCAGTAAGACATTTCAGTTATAAATACAAAATAAAAAGCAACTTCTTTAACTTAAGAGGAAAGACTTTTAATATTTAGTTCTTTTTGAATATGGACACAATGGCTCTCAGTTTTTATTGGAATCCAAGTCTTTATTCAGTTGGAAGCAGCCCATTTTTACTCAGCACTGACAACTCCTATCCATTCCTGGTTCTCTATATTAGTACAGAGAGCAGGTGCACCAGCAGACACAAAGCCCAAATTCTGTTCAGAATTACCTATTCAAAGGATTGGTTTTATTTAATGCCCCATTAGTGCAAAGATCAACATATACTTTAAAGCTGTATTTCATTATACACTTTTCAAAACAAATCCATCAGCCTAACAGCTGCAGCTTAAATGCTTTTTATCCCCCTCAGTTTTATGATATAGTTATTGGATTTGCTTCATACGCACTCAAGATTCTTGCATATCTTGATATGCTTTGAATAAGCTAATTGTCCTAAGTGGGATCTCTGAACCCCGAATCAGCCTTTGGAAACTTGGAAATGTACTGAGGCCACCAAATTCCTGGAAAAAAAGAGTGGAACAGCATATGAGACTTGTGGTATATGCTCAATTTGATTTGAAAGGAAAGACCACAGAGTGATAATTGTAAGAATCACCTCAGAGGGAAGAATATTTAATGGCACATTTCATAGGCCTGTTCCCAGACTCCTCTTGTGCATATTCTCTAGAAAGACTACAACCTGTGCAACATCCCAATATGCAGCAATGATGTAATGTAATGTTGTAATTAAAAATCCTTCCATTCTTTGTGGTTTTGATTAATAGTTTTCATGCTTGTGGTTATATAAAAATTTATATATTTTTTTGTCCTTGTATTCTGTGAGAATGACATTGAGGTTTATATTGATAATGTGCTTTACTACTTGCTTTATCCACATATTGTATAAGACATATTTGAAAACTTAATATTCATAAGCATACATTTTTCAAATACTTGTTTTCAGAAAAATTGAATTTTCCATGTTTTTAAGAAATGCGCTTTTATTTCAGGAAGCATGGCGCTTGAATCTTTTGTTAAACCTAACATTTGTGTAATATTAATCAGTGGTTTCAAAAGCTTATTATAACTACTCCTGAACTAGCTAATTTTAATTTAGGGAATAAATCTAGGACTACTTCTAAACATTTTCCATTAACAAGGCTTTCAGTTCTGAAGTCTGACTTCAATCATGTACTTAGCAGTTATCATACAATACTAAGAAGACCTAGCATGTACTGTATATAGCATTTTATATACAGTACATCTTCAGAAATTTGTGCAAGGATACGTAGTAATGTAGAATTTATGTTGAACAATAATGAGCAGAATTAGATAACAGTTTTCCTCTACCTATACATTTGACGTTTCAAAACACAGCAAAATTGTATCCAGCACAGAATAAACACATACAATTCCTCTTTTTCCTTGTGGCAGAAGGTTACTTAATTGCACTTACTAGATTGTAAAATAGACTATTTCCCCAGCCCTGTTTACAGCACCAAAGACTCATCTATTTCCCACAAACAACTGTGTTTCTCAAGGGTAGGTGGATAAATTAGCATATCAGCATATCCGTGCTCAGCTTCCTCCTTCCCACTCACCTGAAATCAGTCCAATTAAAATTCTAGGGGTTATCTTGGCACATCCTCGTCAAGCATGTTCATAAATTACAGAAATGTTCTCATCTGAAAATGGTAAATTACATATAATCTGTTACATTACAACTCGTTATAAGTATATGATATATATTTATGCATGTGATATATAAAATCAGCATTTAACACACATAAATTCACCTAGGAATAAAATTAAGGAATGTACTTAGTGAAATTTCTGTAAGTGCCTGCTATCTCAGCTGGAGAGCATGATAAACATGAGGGTTGTGAATAATTAGGATTGCAATGTAATTAAAGCTTGCCTGTTTTCTGAACAAAAAATGTTCTCACTTTCATTGGAGTTCTTACAACAGCGTTTTGGCAGAACACAAGAAAATGTAGCTACTGCTACAGCAAAGCAGGTTATAAACGACAAGGGGTAAGTGCCTTTAAAAGAGATTAATCGCTCATATCAGTAGTCTGCAGGGTTATGCAGTTCACTACTCCATTCCAGTAGGTGACTAATGAGAAGGCTTTTGAAGTAAAGCAAATGTGAGTGCATGAATTTCCAATGAAAAAACTATCCTAAGGTTAAATTGCTAATGAAATCTAGAACATTCTAAATTTTACTCATTTAAATTCATTTCATTTATATCTAGTTTTCCTAAGACAATTGCTTGAGATGGCTAGTCAAAAAATAGAGTGACATCTAAATTATTCACTAGCCTGTAAAAAAAGAAAATTGAAAAATACCATTCAGTCCTTGTGTATCCAGTAGAATGGGTTACTATGTTTGAAGCTGATCTTGCTTATAATGTAATTTCATATTGGCTCTGGACTTGCAACAGCAAGAGCCTTGTAGCGGAGAGGCAATAACACAATTTAAGGTTTTTATTTCAATACCTAGGTTTTTACTTAGTATTATGACCTGTGAAAACACAGTGTCCGAACCAAGTGATGAAGTGAGCATTCCTTTCTGGTTGTGTATGCATTGAAATGGAGCAATGAGATTTGTAAAGTAATGTGTTTAGACAGTTGTATTTCTTCCTCCTTTTAAAACATGGCTGTATTCTCATTCTTATTGTCCTGGCACCAAAAGTAATTACATAAGTTGGCTCAAAAAAAAATAATCTGCTTGTTTTTGTTGATGTCAGTTTAATTAGCCTTCAAATTGAATTCTGATTACTGCATGAATACACACCCAGCTGCCTAAAAATATTAGGAAAAGGATATGGAGTGGGAAAGGAGTGGTAACCAGCTTCTGCATGCAAGCAGCCCCGGAACAAACCTTCACCGTAAAACATCCTGGACTTGGGCAAGCACTTAAGACAGTTTAGCACGTTCTCTGCAATGTTTCTAAATATTTGCAGCCCATTCCTGTCCAGTGCTTCTAGCAGGATTAAACGTGTGATGAGGATGATGGGTGTGCTGCACAGAGCTGCCTGTACCAGATTTCATTGGTTTTCAACAATATGCAGATCTGAGGATTGCCCTGGCTTGAGAAGATGTTAACCCGTCTCATTCCCCTCAAAATAACCAGCTTCACCTGGTTAGATTGTACTAGGGGTTCATTATATGGGTACTGACTGCATGTTGGTTTCGGTCTGTTAGCTCTTGAAAAATAGATTTTTCAGAGAGCAAAGGAGAATGACCCAACTGGAGAAGACAATTGGTCACATGACATTTACAAACCAAGGAAGCAGAAGCTTCCAGTGTGACTGCAGTGTGATACCTAGTACAAAAGAAGAGTCTTTCTGAGGAAAGTGAAAAAGAAGAGGCAGTAGATGTAAGTTCCAGAGCTGCAAGTTTTCCTTGGAAAAGGATTTTGAATTAAGGTTTTGGTTTGTTGAGTGGGAGTTTTTGGAGGCTAGGAGCTAGGAGAGACACTGAAACAAGTATAGACAGGGCTGAAAAAGAAGCTTTACTTTCATTTAGTCTGTTTTGTGGTATTTCTTTTTGCACTGTATGGATAAAGGTGAACATTTTTAAACATGACAGATACATTTAAATGTGTTTTCCAAGGCTGGCTATGCTACCCTGCCCCCGATTGCTCCATATCATCTAGCATTAGACTTCCAAGGCAATGCAGATACAGCAGTTGGACTGAGAACAGATTAAATAAAGAGAAAAGGGGAGTACAAGCAAATGAGAAATACTCAGATTAGAGTGCTATAAGGAGCAGAGTATTGCAGGAATTTTTATTAGGACTGTGTATTAATTGTATAAAAACAATATATATATAATTGCACAAACACAAGCTTCTCCAATTTGTGTGACAGGGACTTGCAAAACTGACATTCTGTGGGACTACAGTGACCTCTGTTACTCATTCAATTACACCATGTAAGGAAAACCAGTGTTCTCAAGGCACTAATTTATTCTCTGAGATAACGATGTTAATTTTTTAAAAAGGTGCACCATGGATTATTTTCAAACTCTTTTTTGGGAGGTAAACCATGCCACTACAAAGCCTCAAATAAAAAAAATGTCTGCTGAATTCTGAATGAGCTTTTATTTTCTCTAGATTTTCATTTCAGATTTGCTAACACAGCTGAATAGAATGTAGTGACAGACTATGTGTTGGATAAATAACAGGAACCATAGGCATTTTTCACCCCAAGGGCCTTTATGTGCCCCAGATTGATGAAGTTGTTTTCTGCAGGACAAGCTGTATCACAGGCCTGTAATCTGGAATGCATTCAGCAGCATGTCTCTTAGTCCCAGACCTTAATGTGCCCCTCAGATAAAGTGAATTTGTATGTAAAGCCATACTGCAAAGGATCAATTGGGTTATCTGTTTTGACACCTTTTTTCATTTACTCAGCTCAGGGCTGTTCTTATTAAATTCTGACTCCCACCATCCATCTCTTTCTTGCACTTCGATACCTCAAGTGATTCTGATTTTAATGTTTAGTTATAAGATTTATAATTAGACTGAGCACAAGAAAAATGGGATTCAGATCCTTTCAGAGATAAAGGCAGGTCAAGTTCATATACCAAGAACAACAGTTTGCTTGCTTTAATTGTGACAAGGTCTTGTGCATTGGTAACAAACTGCCAGATAGCTGACCTTATTAAATCTCTTTTCTGTTGGGCTCTGGACACTCTCTGTGGTCAATTATCTATTTGGTAATGACCAGACTGCAGACTTTTGCCTCATTGGTGTTGCACTGTAGGTACCTTCATTAACCTTGCTGCTAAATATACAGTTATATTAATGATGTTATAATAATGATGCTGATGTGGAGCCTATTTTTTGGGGGAAAGCCTGTTTTAATAAAAAAGCAGGTTTTTAAAATCTGTTTTGCCGAAATGTGACACACTCGTGAATTTGTATGGAAAACTTTATTTGATAATAAAAATAGCATTCACAGACTTCTTTTTTTGTCGCTACATATACATTGTGATCCGTTTCAAGGAAAGAAGCTCGTACGGGGTAAATCCACATCTACTTGTACTTAGACTAATGTTATGTATAGCCTTATGCATCAAATAAAGCTATGAACAATGTAGTATTTATATATGCATAGTGTTTTATAAAAAAGATTGGCCCATATACTGCTTTTCATCAACACATAAGATAGCATTATGTCTATAGCACATTGCAAGAAATAATGCTTAAAGAACAGACTGCATACAAGTGCTTTATAATACACAGGCAGGCCCACCATGAAGAAAAATTCAAACCAACAAAAAGCTTCAGATTTACTTATATAGTCTTCCATTTTAAAACTGCTTTACATACCTGATTCAGTATACATTAAAATATTTCCCATGAATCATGTGTTCCATTTCAGAAATATAAACACTTAATCACATTCCTCACAGCTAAGGTTTATCATAAATTCTCTTTTATACAAGAAAAAGGCAACATTTTATTTTTTTTTCCCCAACAGGCTCTATTAATTACATATTAAATTCTGTACACAGGATGGTTGGCCATTAAACTTTGTTACAGTACCATGGCAACAACAGTGATAAAACTTGCAATGCTTTTGTTGTTTTTTTCATGGAAAAATGTGAAACATTACACATATACACACTAATGCACTGTAAAGCAGCAGTTTACTGTAGTGGTCTGACAGTAATGGCAAACATTATGGCTCAGCGAGGCAGTTAGCAATCATTTTCTCAATTTGGTACCACAACAGACCTTGACCACACAACACTAAGATGTAGCTTGTCATTTATAACTCAAAGATGTTTCACTGATCGTTCTAGATAAAGTTGCATTGAGGCATTGCAACCAGAAGTTCTGTTTTAAGTTAATTTCTTTTGTTGTCCTCGGAAACAACCGTTTTACCATCTTACTTCAGTGCATTTTTAAAGTCATTAACAACATTAACTGGGAAAAGACTTTCCGTTTTTTTTATCTCCAGAACAAAAGCACTTCATTAGGGTTTTATCTTTAAAGGCTCAGGAAATGGCAGTACATTCTGCAAAAGAGATCAGAAACATAATCCTGGTACTGCTCTTTTTTCCCCACTATAGCATAAACATCCGACCATTACTTTCTTATAATCAGTAGGCTTCTTTTCAAAACAAATTCAGGATGGAAACAGCCTATTTTTTTTGTTTGTGTCTTCTTGGAAATAGTTTCAGTATAAAAGAAGAGCTCCCAACCTACTTTAAGGGGATATTTCCATTTTTTTGTGTCTTCGTTGCTGGAAGATAAGACAGACACTACTGCAGTTCTCTCAACAGTAGCATACAGCAGTACAGAGCGAAGAGTGAATGAAAGAGGTAACATTTACTTATGTGACTGTGAATCACCACTGCCCCTTAAATCTAAAATGTGCTAATTTCTGTGCTGAATTTATATAAATATTAGACATCATTTTCAAGAGGATAAATCAAATATATTATTTTAATTTTTCCTTCATTCCTTTAAAATGAACACTTCTGAATGTACATATACCGCAAACTGCCAAAAACTATATAAACCAAAGCAGGATTGTGCTATATTGTGATCAGATAGCTAGAAAACAGTGGCACTGATAAGGACAAAAAAGTAGCCAAAACCATTCAGTTTTAAGACATGCGTATGACATATCTGTGCACCAGAGGTCAGAAAGAGTCTGGCGCATATAAGGGTTCTCTGGAAAAAGAAGGAATTTGTATTCATCTAACAACTGCAAAAAAACCTCTTTCATCATTTAAAAAATGTCACTGTGATACTGTTAGGCACATAATCGTTTTTTCTTGTAATTGTTCGGTAAAATTTTGAATAAAGCATATATGCAAAATAAAACAAAGAATGCATTTTTCAGATTGTACTTCTGCTGTAAATGTTGGTAATTTTTGAATCTCTGGGAACACAAGAAACTCAAATCAATAATTTAATATCTTCAAAAGTCCAGGTTCCACTTCTTCCAGGGCAGACGGGCTGGGGTTGTGAGGAGAAATGTGGCACAACCACGACATGAGATCAGATGCTGAGGTCATTGTGGCTCTCTCTGTAGGGCCTTCTCTTAGGCTCAGGGAGTGGTCTGGAACCTCTGCTTGTGTTGGACTTCAATGTGTTGTACTCCTTGACTCTGGGCAGGACCTGGTCATCTCTGTAACTTCTGTCAGGCGATGGGTCTCTCATTAAATTTTCATTTTTGTAATGTCTTTCAGGTGACCTGTCTCTCAGGAATTTTTCCTCTCTGTCACTCCTGTCAAGAGACTTGTCCCTTACAAAATTTTCGCTCTGGTATTTTCTTTCAGGTGACCTTCCTCTTGAGGGGGTTTCCTTTTTGTAGTTTCTTTCTGGCGACATGGCTCTCGTCAAGGTTTCGTTCTTGGAGCTTCTTTCCGGTGACCTGGTTTTCCACATATTCTCACTTCTGTTGTTTCTTTCTGGAGACCTGCCTCTTAAAAACACCTCCTTCTTGTAATTCCCTTCAGGTGATGCATCTCTCCCAAAGTTTTCCTCCCTGGAGTTTCTCTCAGGTGACCAGTCCCTCTGGCTCTCCAGAGAGTGTTCTCGTCTTCGGTCCATGGACTTTGCTCTCCTCCTGTCAGGAGAAGAATCCTGCCTCCTCTCTGGTGATCGCCTGGAGTCCCCATATCTGTCCAGGGACCTCCTTTCTCGGGAAGGGGATAACACTCTCCTCCTCTCCGGCGATCTTTCCTGCCTCCTGTCGAAGGTGTTGTCAACACTCTTGGCTCCACTTCGTCTCTTGTCAGGAGAACGGTGTCTCCTGTGGTGCGAGTGGTGCTCAGTCTTCCTCTTCCCGGGACTCTCATCCTTCTTTGTGCCCTTCTGTGGCTTGGCTGTTCCGTTTTCTTCGGATCTCCTCCCATGGCGCCTGTGCCCACCCCTGTGTTCGGGAGACCGGTGTCTTCGATGCGTGTGGCTCTTGTAGTTTCCATGACTGGTCCATGTGTGGTGGTGATTGGAGTATCTGCCATGCTCCCTGCTGCCCGCAGGATCCCTCATCCTCTTGTCCTCATTTTGTGATGATTTGTGAAGATCTGGTGGATAACTGGACTCCGATGATGGGTGAAATCGACTGTTGTGTGGCAAGGTTTTCACTTCCGAAACATTTTGTGAACCTGCGGTGGTACTGTTCCTGTCATTGCTGGCGTCTGTAACATACATAAAGAGTAAGGGGTTTTGTCACATATGAGCACTTGTCATTGTTCAATGCTTTCTTTATGCACTGATACACACTACTGAGATGTTAACATTTTTAGAAGCCAGTTTCCAGATTAAGTTCAGCAAATGTTTTAGTTTTTTGTATTATATTTTGACCACAGTATACAGAAAAGTATTAGTTTTAATGAGCCAGAAGCAAAATGCAAGAGCGTCTGTGAAACGGCCAAAGCTGCTAACAAAAATACAAGTAACTTACAAGATTTTCTATCTCAGTTAAAGATTTTTGAGTTTCACTTGATTTTATCTATGCAGTCGGAAACATTATCACCCTTAGGGGTATACGTGTTCAAATTTAAGTTTTATGAATGCAGCACATTTTTTTTAAGTTTTCAACTTCTGATTGTCAGTCAAAGATATTCTAAACCCTTTGATTAGCCTCTTTTAACTTGCAACAGAATACAGTGTGCAAGTATAATGCAAAGGTACATCACTTTTTTCTTAAACTGAAATAAATAGTATATTTAGTGTCTATTTGAGTTCATGAGCATTAAAATGACATTAGATACTGCTTTTTTAAATTTACAACAGCTTGACTTAAATGCATGATACACATTTCTAGGCTAGGATCAATTTTATTTGTTTAGATTTTTTTTTAAAGAAGAACACATTTTCTTTTCCTTATTTTAGTGTTATGTTTAAAACCTTTATTTCAAGTTTTATGTACTACTTATGCTATTAGTGAAATAATGTATGAACAGAAAAATAATTTAATTACATATTATAATGTAATTTCAGCAAATAACATTTTGACAATAATGTGTTTACTTAAATGTCCTTCTTTCAATGCATACGGTGCTAGAACTAGGCCATGGTTTATTATTTCAGAAAGAGCAGTTACATTCATTTTCAATGGAAAAAATGATTTTGTCATTTTCATGAAGTATTCTTGATAGAGCGCCTGTCTGTGTATATATTTTTTTGAGGTTAAGTGGATTAAAATGACTTATTTAATCACAGCCACCATCATAGGAAATCCTTTCTAAAAATTCACGGAATCCTGATCCTGAATGTGTTTTTATGAAATACACTGAAGCAAGTAAGTGCCTGGCTTTACAGATAAACACAATGATCAATCCCTCTGGACTGTTTTCCTCTAATGACCTTGCCATAAAATATACCAATTTTGTTCACATATTAAAGGTACAAAAATCCATTAAAGACATGCAATTAACTGTATTTAGAGTGTGTATTGGACTTGCTCTTTCATAATTGTGAAACAGTACCAATCATTTAAAAAACATTCTATTGCTTAAATCTCTGCTTTGGAGCCCAGTGACTATTTAGGCAAATGAGAGTATCAATTTAGATCAATATTGACATATCAAGAAAGGGAGAAATTAAAGAAAATGTGATATTTTATATAGCTAAATTTGTGGATTTCATCTTGTAGATTTTCACAAGATTTTACTGTCCTATTTCAATGGCTGCCACGTTTAGATCCCTGTGGTGAGCTTGCGCTGCATAAGTCAAGAGAGGTTTGTTCCTATACATCCTGTGTTAGACATTTTGAATGTGACAGATTATCAGGTGGAATCTCCTTCATACATATGAAAAGGGCTCAGAAGAGCCACTTTAATTTCTGGCTGTAGGTTTAGCAAAAAGAGATTCACACAAGGAAGAAGGCTTGGATGTATAAGATACTATTCAATTTCAGCTCGTTAAGTTTCACGCTTCTGTTATTACCTGTGGATAAAAATCAAATTCGGACTGGAAACAGACCCCAATGTATCCAATTAAGAGAGCGTTAGATGCCACGTAGATCACTGTATTACTAAAGCAGCTTGCGAAAAGGGATTCCAAAACTGTTTTTGTTAAAAAAGGCTGAGAAATATTCAGAAGCACAATGGTAATAGCTAAAACAGCAGAAAGCAAACACAAGAGAGTGTCATAATATTAATGAGGTGAGGAAAGAAAGACAAAAGAAAGAAGAAAAGGTCGCATTTAAAGAGAGGACATTTCCAGAAATTAAATGCGAGGGGTAATGCATGAATCCATTTATCATTGACAGCGCACAGAAAGCCATTACGCAGTACAGTGCGAATTGAATGAATGGATTCATAAGCATGAAGCACAGCACGGGTGACAGTGAATCAGGCCACACCACAGAGAGACCTAATGTACTGATTTCATCTACAAACCGTAGTTTGATTATGGCCCATAAGGTAGAAACAAGGCTCCCCCAGCTTGTCATTTCTCATACATGCAGCGAGATGGGGAGGTATCATCGCTGAAGGAAGATGGAAGAGCCCAGCATAAAGGAAGAAGAGAAACAGAGAAAAAAAAAACAGAAAAAAAGAAAAAAACAGCAGAAGGTTTAGATCCTCCAAATAGAAGAAAGAAGAATTATTCTTTTTTATTATGGAAAAAGGTGTTTATTTTTCAATAGAGCAAGATTGTCCAGGCAATACCCCTTTGACTGAAAAATCCAACATTCACAGAGACCCAAGCAGCAAGACGACCATGTCCCAACAGGCAAAAGAGACACAAGACAAAAGAACATGTGCACAAAACTTAATTCACAATCTACATTTAAAATAAAGAAAAACTGTTTTAGGCAGTCAAGGATTTAAAAAAGTACAAAAAGTTATAAAAATAGACAACCTCACAGACAAGCTATACCGATGTAAGAAAAAAAATCACATCACATTGATAGCCTAATAAATTACAGGAATGGACATTTCAAATGGTAACTAATCCCATATACCACAAAAACAATTTACATGCATTTAGGAATCAAAGGTCTAAAAGGTAAATATAAAATAAAACCCATTTCCATAAATGATACAGAAAAGGGATTTTTGTCCTTTTTTGGTTTACATATAAATCTTAAATAATACTATTATAATTAAGGTCAGATAGCAAAAAAGAATGGTTACATTAGGGATTAGTTGACCTTCAAGTTTGGCAGATTTCTAGAAAAATTACAGCAGGTGACAAGTTACTCAATGGTAGTGAAGATGACCTATGTGGAAAAAAAGAAATACAGTATTGCAATTTCCCTTTGAACGAGTATAGAGTATAAGGATGGGTTGTGTTTATTTTTTCATTTAAATTAAACTCAAATTCAGTAGTTGACATTTCAATAAATACTATAAATATGTGAATTAGGTGTTGCTTATTATCAAAGTAAAGCACCACAAAGTATTTCAGAACTGTCTAGGCCATGAAATGCAATAAATCAAGTTGTGCAACCTGGAAAATGCCTTTCAGTACGTTTCACGAAATGCAAATTGACGAGTACTACAACTTGAAAAAGTAGAAGCTCTCACAGGGAATTTGGTTCTTCATTTAGCCTATGGCACAGTAGACATCGTGCCTCTTGCACCTCTGTAACCAGTTGGCACTCTGATTCCTCCTTATACTTTATCCCAGCTCAGGAAATCTAGCACAGGACAAGACTATGGACAACTCAGAACCCACTCTGTAGCAACTACAGGGCTTGGTGTGGAGAAAAGAGAATTTCCCAGTTTAGATCCCGACAGATTTCATGGAGTGATGGCAGGGGAGAAAGGAAGGTTTTCATAGACTGACCCACCATATTCAGGCACAGAGCCATCTCCACGTTTCAGAACCATGTGGACTCTGCGGCCCCCATTTTTAATCAGTTCTATTGCGCGGGAATGTTTCATGTTTTTTGTGGTTTCTCCATTGATCTCCAGGATCTCGTCGCCAACCTGTTACAAAAGGCACAGCACAAAGAACAGGGCACATTAAGAGCAGAATAAATATAACAAAACACTAACACTAAGAAAGAGCAGGAATAGGCATAGCCTTTGTATAAGATTTTTTAAAGATACTTTGCATCTTTTTAGGAAAGGATGCTAGTCACAATTAAGAGCAGCAACTACAAGATATCCAGATTTAATAACAAACACGTTTACAACACATTTAAGTATCCTGCTAATAATTCACAGAAGGAAAGGGCATGAACATTTTTTGCTGTTGTTGTACAGATAATTTAGTTTTTCATTTCTAGCTGGTAAATCTCCAATATTATGATATTTCTCCTTACAGTTTTTGCAAAGAACAGTGTGTCAGAATCAGTCTTCCTTAACAGTCACCATCAATAAAGTGACATAACTATCCTTAGGGCAGTAGACTGAAGAGACACAAGGATCGTTCTCTGTGCTATTGCATTAAACTAGGTCACAACCAGAAAGCAGTGAAACCAGTACACCAGCTGAAGGAAGCTGGAAGATACGTGAAGGAAAGCATACCCTCATTTTCCCATTGCGAACTGCAGCACCATCTTCAGCTAACCGCAGGACATAGAGATCCATGTTATATTCTCGGCCACCACGCAGGCTGAACCCAAAACCCTTGGAGTCCCTTTCAAGATCAACAGAGTAAATTTCTGTATCCTTGAAAAGAAAAACAAAAACAAAAACCAAACTCATTGGAGTACAATGACTTGGAAAAGACAAGAAAAGTAATGACAAACCCCTCCTGGCCAGAAATCCTTACAGGAAATTGTTTCTTTTTCTTGACAGTTGACACCACTGAGCGAAGATGCACATAATCAATAGAACTGAAGTACTGTGAAGTCTAAGGGATAATTTATGCAGACAGAACATTGTAAGGGAGCTAAAAGGGGGCTTCGACTAATATTGTCTGAAACATGATTTTGTGTAATATTGTTAATGAAATTGACAATTTGTTCCCCATGATTTTAAAAACAGATTAAAAAATACTTTAAATTGTTACACTGAAATGTTTTTTACTTAAAAAACCAAGCTGCATATGCATTACATTTATATTTAAAACAGCTTTTTAAAAATTTGGTTTTAAATACAAAATGTGAACTGAAAACATACTACGGCCTACTGTAATTTGTGCTTTACAAACAAGTGCTGATGGCTGGTTCAAACAGCAGTGTATTGTCACTTAGTAATTCAACAGCACTACATCACCTACCAGTAGACCAGCATTAGAACAGCCCCACAAAACAAAAAAAGTGTAAAAACTATTAATAAATTACATTTACCTGGGCTTGAGATTGTGCTGTAGCTGTGGTTGGAGGTTGGGGGGGTTTAAATTCAAACAGAGTGTCCTGTTTTGGTTTTGAGTTGTTCCTGCAAAGAAAAATGACTTTCCTGGTTAAAACTGTGCGTAATGAGCTAATATAATAAGTTGTTACAAAATAAGCACCAATGTGGAAAGGGGTACAGGGGAAAACTCAAAAGCATGGTCAATATTTCTGAAAGGGAGGAGGAAAACTGCCAATGGTCTTTGCCCAGTAATAGGCCTCCCTCCACCTGCTTACCTTGTCTCTGGTGCAGCCTGTTGCTGAGGTGTATGTGTGGTGGTTATGGTGGCAATCTTCTCCGCATTAGTCAAGAGAGACGCATTGGAGGACTCTGAGGAAAAACATGTGGGTTCTAAGGATAAGAGTCATCTTGAGCATGTTTAATTTTGCAAAAGTAAAATAAAATCTCTTTTTTAGCCTCTGCATACAGCACATCTTTATTTAACTGTCACACCGTATTTTGATATGGCTAAATCATGCTGTCAATTCACACAAGCAGTTTCTTGCAGAAAAGTCAAGTAATAAACAGCAGTAAAAAAGCGCTCTTTTACCTTAAGAGAAACACAGTTAAAGTGGAGGCAAAGATCTGTGTATACTAAGAGCACAAGAATTTGAACCAATCAAGTCTGATTGCTTTATGGCACTTTTTCGGTCTTCTCAACTTCAGCAACAAACATGCAAATTATGAGGAAGATATATTCGAACACACATTCTTTTTCCAGTGTCTGTTCCCTTGTAGCCTTTCCAGATTCATAATATGTAGCAGTATACTAAAAAACTTTTAAATGTAGTTTTTGAAACATCATAAACACGAAAAAAAAAATGCTAAGCTATGTTAACATTAATATTAACTAACATTAACATAGATAATATGCAAAAACATTAGAAGTAAAAAGAAGATATTAAGTTTGCAGAAATGTATATTCAGGTCAGTCATTTGTCACTAGGTGTAAAATTATGGTGGCACCATAGCACATTCTTTTTTTAAAGCACTGCATCTTTTGAGACTGGAATGCAAGCCTTTTCTCACAAAATAAGTTGTATGTTTCTGTACGAATGTGACACTAGGGAGTTAGAATCCCTAAATATTTAACCAGGGATTTCATGAAATCCCTAAATGTTTCAGTAAATATGTGATATCCCTTGTTAGACATTTAGACTACGGTTTCTTACAAAGCATATATCATTTTGAGTGCTAATTTTCTTGTTTGTTCCATAGTTGGGGAAGCAAATAAATATTTCCTTCTCTCCTGGAAATCACACCCAAGAACAGAAAACTGATGATGGATACGAATCGATCTTCTTCTAAATAGAATTCACTGCCACTAGATACAGTATGTGAACATTTACAGAAATCAATCCAATAAGCATGCTGCATGCTTTCTTTTTCCCTGTGACTAAAAAACTCAGAATACAACTCAAGAAAACTCTTTAAACTAAAATCTTTATTTCTTTTCAGTGACCAAGAATAATAAAGCTTTTGTTTGCCAGAAACTTAAATAAGGAATCTGGGTTCAATGTCATATCTATAAATTGTCCTTTACTTTTTTTTAAAGAAGCACATTGTAAATTGTCAGCTGTAACACATATATTGTCAGAAACATACAAACTTATTCTATGAATTATGAAACAATTAATTATGCAAAATTGAATATTATCTTGAGCCCTACAAGGACTTCATATGCATCTCAACATTTACTTTATACATGCTTAAAAAAAGTTAGACGTTTGCATAGACAGGTTGGCTTTCTGTTACTGTGAAAGGGCTAGAATAATTTCACATTCTAGTAATTTCTAACTGCTTTCTCATGAAAAACACTAGATCCCTGAAAGACACTGCTTGTAAGATATATACAGTATATACTGTACACTAGTTTCACAGTTCAAGTTAACTAAATTGTGCTAAAGAAGCCATTATATACTGTATGCAAAGCATAATCACAAGCATTGTGAAACAGCCCTACAATTCTTATTCTCAGCTATAACTTATTACACTTAGCTCAGAATATGTCAATTTTGCTATTCTCTGAAAACAGTCAATTAAAACAATCAAAATTTGGGTTACAGATTTTTTTAGCCCTTGTACTACAAAATCACAGGGGTGATTTCTCATTGTATGAGATTCTCTCTCATACAATCCAAAAACAGTGTAATATCAGACTTGGTCTTTTTTTTATTACAAGCTCTCAGGGAAAATAAATAAAAAGGAATCAGTGATGGTGCATTCCCCTGCAAATGAAATTGCATTAAGCCTTAAGCCTCCGCAACGCAATACACATTATTCATTATATTTTAATGTAAATCCGATTTTTCCTCCAGTAGCCATGCACATCAGCAAAATTCATTAATTTCTAATTTGGTTAGTTCCCTGACAGTGGTACACTCTTCAGTCTAAGAAATGCTCTGCATACAGAAGAGAAAGTAATGCCATTTCAGTATCATAAAAATATATATTTTCTGTGGTGGAGACTGTGCTGCAGTTCATTTATTATCTATTGGTGCATCTATTTTCTTACCAACCAGGCAAAAAAGACGATCTGCCACACTTTGTTTAATAGCTGACTCAAGACTGAATGCTAACTAATTTTAGCCTTTTCTGTTTAGCTTAATTAAGTTACAATCACTCGAAACTCTAGAGCATTTAGTCTTAGAACTAAAGTAGAGTTCATGTGAACTTTGCAAAGGCTGCTGTTTTCATAGGCCCAGAACATCTATGGCTAGTGACAGGTTAAAACAATGTTCTTTTTTTCTAATTCATGAAACACACAATATGTAGTGGAGTGACTCATGGCTTTCAGTTCAGATATGTACAGCCATTTCTGGAAGAGACAAATGACACAAAGGCCTGCAGGAGAGGTAGCAATATCTTTTTCATCTTCAGACTACATTTTCATATTAGTTATTAAAGCTAAAATGACCTTCTTCCTTGCAATTTGTGCTCTTTCCTTCTTTTTAAAAATTTGACAGTTGTAGACTCCCAGAGAAGAACAGAGTGGGAGGCCAGTAGTCCTTATATGATGACTCTCAGATGAGTTCTTCTGGGATGCTATTGTTACATGAAGTCAGTACAAGGCAAGAAAAATCTATGCAACAGACCTGCAGCTCAATATTCTCCCAAGAAGACAGCTTTATTAATTAAGTAGTGAGTTGTTAAATAGTTAATCCTTTCACATCATTTGATGAGAAACATGCATGCTATCCCTTAAGACATGATTTAAAAAAATGTTATTGCATGAACACTCTCCAGTAATGCAGCTCTAACACTCCAGCACTGTGCTTTCGAATGTGTTTAATATCATACTACATAACATATTTCAACTTCATGACGAGCCAGGTCTTGTAACAATTTTCTATTCTTAGAAACCCCTTAATGCATCACGAGCACTAGTGAGTGATTGAATAAAGTGCAGCAGATAAACTTACCATCTCCTGGAATGATTCTTAAGGTGACAGTATTTCCGGCCTCCTTGATTAAGTTCACAATGTCCGAGTGTGATTTGTTGGTGATGGAACAGCCGTTAACAGCCAGGATCCTATCTCCTACTTTCAGCTTCCCACAGCGGTCCGCTGGGCTTCCCTCGATAATCCGACCTATTTTGTGAGGCATGGCCACACATGCATTTCCAGCTTTGGCATTATTGAGTGTTTGTTGGTGTGATTCACACATTTATATTCAATTAGGGTAAAAAAAAAGAGGTAAAGGGGAAAAAGAAAAGGACAGGAAAAGGGAAACAGAAGGTTAAGGGTTAATTACACGAGCCACCAAGCAAATCCCATAGAGGACAGACCCAAACCTGCTTTTGATTAAAGAAAAGTATTGGCCAAGAACATGAAGAGCACCGCGATGGTGCAAAGGAGACCATGTCTTGGATAGATCACTCAAGCTGCGCTCAGCCCATTGAGATCTTTTACTGTTAATATGTATTCTATATAGACACTCACACTCAAACTGTTCTACTGTGAAGTTAGAGATGTCATTCTGTTAAGAGTTTACCAGCATGATGTCATTGAAACAGCCTTTAGCTACTTCACAATCAGTGGGGAAATGCCAACGACTGAGCCACTTAGAAAGTGTTACTAGATGGTTACTAAAAATATTTGCAATGTAATGGATGGGAAAACATTTGACCTTCGTCTCACTGTATAGCACACTATACATTTATCACTACAGCACTGTTTTTTTTTTCCTCTGTAATATAAAAAGATAGCAGTGAATTCCCTTTACAGTTACATACTTTCAAGGGACCAGAGTTAGTTTTTATATGTTGGCTTCAAAAGGAAGGATCTTGGTAAAGTTACCCTTAACCAAGGCACTGCACTGCCCTGACATCTACGGTAGCACCACAATGAGTACAAGTGACAGTGCTCAATGATTTTATTTATAGTGCTTATCTGTGCAGCCCCCAGGCTTTCTCCTTTGACAGTTATATTTATAATAACATCTAAAAATGGGGGATCGTATCATCTTCATTATAAAGCACCAAACAACTGCAGTATGTCATAGCTTTCCTTTCTCAGAGACTGCTTAATACCTCCAGCCCTTTTCATTTTTTTTCCAGAATAGGATCTGCGGAAGTATGTTACATATGAGGCCCTGCATAGAATCTGCCAAATGGAAGTCACAGGTGTTTTTACGTTTCTAAGAGAAAAGAGCATTCATACAGATGAAGCAGTGATGCTTTTAATGAAAAATGAATTGACAAGGGAAAACATTTCTTAATTTGGCATATAGAGCTGTTCTAGAAGTCTGACTTGAAATGTTTTGGATGTCATTTCCAAACAGAAGAGATCAATAGATCCTGCTCGGATGAAACTTTAATAGAGCTTTCTTGCCAATGTTTTCTTCTTTGGGCTTCAGCTTCTATTTCATTTAGACCTAATGTGATTTGCTAACACAAAAAAGCCTCCATTGTAACTACACTAAGCTACACCATGCATTTGCTCCTCCTGGGCAAGAATCATCAAGAGCTTGACAGATAGTTACCCAAGACCACAAAAAGTGAAGGTACAGGACTGCCACACAGTAATAGGAATAGACAGGCACTGCACAGTGACAGACAGATGTTCCATGCAGGGTGGTAGGCAGCCACAGAATGTATGAAGCAGCCACACATGTCCAGTGTATTATATTTGCATACCATATCCAGAAGCATTTACATGTAAATCATCACTTAAGAAAGCATTTATGCAGCCAGTCCCACACACCCTGCTCAACAATTAAATCACCCAGGTTTGTAGAAAATCAACAGACCACATAATGGACTTTTGAAGTATTCTGTATCTTGTGCAACAATGTGGACACAGCCAGCAAAAGCATACCAGTTCAGGTTCCTGAGGTTCATGAGCTATGAAGGGTTGCTATTTAATCTCTACTGTGCTTCCCTCTTCTCAAAAAGGCTGCATTTTAAACTGAAATATCTTGCAGACAGTGGAGAGACTAACAATGCTTTGTGACACCTCTTTGACTTGAAAATGTTAATATTCTGGTGAGCTCAATACCCATACTATCATAGAATTTACTTAATCATATTTGTTTCCGTATTAGAATACTTCAAAAGTACATTGAATGGATCCGTTAGAGAAGAAAGTGCTTAGCCTGTGTGATAAAGTGCTTTAACACAGTAGACAGAACTGTATTACACATAAAGGATTCCACATTTTCCTATAAATTTGTTTCTTAAGATAATGGGTTTGTAAACTCCGTTTGCACATTAAGTATATAACCACACAAAACATTTTCTAGTAGAAGCTACTTACATTTACTGCAGACTGACTTAATGAATGATGACTGTCACAATATTATAATTCTATCTGGAATATGGTATCAATTATTCTCATGAATAATACATTTGGACATGCTGTGTATTTATGTGTGAATGGGTTATAAATCCATATTCAAGTTATTTATTCAGTTCTCTGGAAATAATAATGTGATCTTCTTTACATGTGATTCACTGCATGTTTTAAAAATGAGAGGTTAATAATGTTAACCATTAGTAGTAGGCATACTCGTTAACAGCGGTGATATTTACTGAAGGGTAACCACTGGTCCATTTTTTAAACATGTTTAAACAGCATGTTAATTGTATGCAACCACTGTTGTTACTTCCCCACTGTTTACCACCCTCCAACCTTTAAAGTGGGATGGTGTCACGGGGCACTCCCAGGAACCTCCTGCTTGTAGCCTGGAAGTTAGGAATCTGCTGCAAACTAAATACCGCAGTTCTGTGGAAGAACTGCAGAGAGGCAGAACTGCCGGGTCCTTCGTTGAGCGCTGAAACTTGGAGTCTTGGAGTCTCCATTTGAACTCGATATTGGACTTGGTACTGGAGGGAATCTGGGGTGACAGAATAAAGTACCTTTTCGCTTGAATGGTGGCCTGAGGATTTTCAGTGCAGCAGATTCCAAACTTCCAAGCTACACACAAAGAGGTTCCTGGTTGGGCCCGTCACGGACGGAAAAAATGAAAGTTCACAATCACAGATATCCAGACTTAACTGATAAAGCAAAGGTGCGGCTGTCAGACAGCTGGATCTACGGATAACCACACTGATGGAGGGCTGTCGCAGACTGTGTGCAGGACCACGCGGCTGGGGGAGGCAGATGCGGATCGCGAGCGAGAGGGCACGTGAGCTTACCGAATGTGGTTCCCGCCTCGGGCCGGCTGACTGAGGACACGATGACAAACCCGAAGCCCTCATTCTCCCCGCGGCGGATCTCCACGTCGTAGGGCTGCACCGCCGCGCTGACCACTGCGCTGCCGCCGCCCCCGCCGCTGCCGATGCCGCTGGTGCTGCCGCTGCCCGAGCTCACCGTGTTGAGGGAGTTCTGGCTGCCCTGGGGGGTCCTCTTCTCCTCAGTGAGGGAGGGCGCCTGGTTGCTGCTGTGGTGGGAGGAGGCCGGTGAGGCCGGGACATCACCGTCCACTTTGGATACTTTGGAAAAGAGGAAGAAAGATTGTAACTAACTCGCAGCAAAAAGACGGTCCTTCCAAAGGGCTCCTCTTTACTTTGCTCATCCTTAAAAGACTGTCTGCAAAGGGAATAATTCAAGAAAATATATTTTTTCCTCTACCATCTGTATATCTCTTCTATTTCAGTCTTAGATATTTAGTGCTTTTTTCTACAGACATAATTTTCTTCATTCACTTACAACAACACAAACCCACACACTCTTCATTTAGCTAATTCTCATTACTTTGTAGAAGCGGTGCGTAATCTTGGCTAATTCATTCCTCGATAAGAGATTTTGAGGGTTAATAACAGCGCTGAAGTGCAATGCGTCCGCCAAAATCTACGGATATGTTAAACACAAGGGTGAATTTCATTAAAGTGCTGAATTTTAGAAGAAAAGCAATAAAGTGAAATTAATTTGAAAAACATTCACAGCAGGAATGATTTTTTCATAGGATTTATTTATAACTCAAAGGCAGTGTCATAGGGAAGTAATAATACCAGGAATGGCTGCCCAAGGGTTAATGATATAACCAAGTATTATTGTTATTATATATTTCTAGTACCTTTAGAAGAACCTGGGGGGGCATTTTATTACATTTTACTTGAAAAATGACAGGTTTCATTACAAAACCTTGCAAATGTATTCCTCTACATTATGCTTAACTTCAGTCATATAGTTGTGTTTGACCTGAGGGAGTGTCCTTCACCCTGTCTTCAGTGTCACTACCTACTGTGCCAATCAACAATGGACCTCAGAAGACTTCAGCATAGGTTACCCTGTCAGATTTATGGACAATCACCTGAAATGGATTTCCATGGCATTTCAGAAGCTTTTTATAGTTTCACCTCAAAGCTTTGATGGTTTCATCTTCCATGGATTTCAGTTGGTCTGTATATTGAAAATTATATGACAGCCGATAAGACCTTAAGAAGGGTTATAAACATGACAAGGACACCTGTCCTATGTTTATTGGTTGACTTCCAAGAACAACAGCGATCCCTAAAAATGTCCTGAAGCTACTCCTTTAAAGTTGCAGTTAATAGATGGCTTCCATGCAGTAACTCAGACCTGTACTATGGCAGTCCTGTACACAAGACCCTCTTACAGGAATGACGTTTTAAGGAGACTACATAGCATGCTGTACTTGGAAAAGGTTTATGCTGTGTTAAAGTTTCAATTTGTTTAAAAAAGGAAGAGTCCTAATGTTAAGAAGATTAAACAGTAAAAAATGCACTTCTGAAAACTCAGCCTGTCATTATTAACTCTTAAGTGTCATTTGTTAACTCCAAAGTAGAGACCAACACTTAATGTAAGTGTCTTCTATTAACTTTTAAATTAGCTTCTGCTTGCTGACTTCTTTGTTTTATCATTCGGGGAAATAAGTTAGAGTAACAGCAGACATTTCAATCATCATTTTCAACAGAGCTGCATTGTTCACTGAGACCACTTAAGCTCTGTTGTCGTTTTTTTTTTGCCATGGGCCACAGCCATTAACAAAAAGAGATCTGGATCTAGATTACCTCCAAACGCCGTCTTGCGCCTCACAGTCAGGTTGACGTGGCCCTGCTTGGCAGCCTGCTGCATCAGTTGGACAACAAGTTGGTGGGATTTGCCTACAACAGCGGTTCCATCCACACAGATCAGCTCGTCCCCCGATCTTAGCCGTCCATCCTCATCGGCCGCTCCATATTTCACAATATGACCAATATAAATCTGAAGGAGAGAATATTCCATGACAGTAAGATCACTTTTAATTTGTGCTTTTCCAAAATCCTTTTCAGCAAAATTCTCCTTTTTTACAGCCCTTTCCCATTGATTGGCGTGAGCTAAGTGAAAATAATGGTTATGGATAATATACAAAAGAAAACTTCATCATTTTATATAATTTCAATTGGATAAATAATTAAACAGCCTTCTTAAGCACACAAGCACTTTTTTTTATTGAAGACATCCTCTTGCTTTTGGAGACGAAGCTAAGCAGCACAATAGACAAAACTCGTGGGCTTAATTATTTTCTTTCTGCATGTACTTCTTGAGCCGTCAAGAGCTATATGCATCACATCTTAAGAACAAACAAGCCAAGTGCTTTATATATAACTGCTTCTTTCTTTTTTACAGAGTAGATACATGGTTGCAAAGGGATATAAAATGCAACTCTTGCTAGGCTTTCGTCTTCCACAGCCTTTTCTATTAGGCTTAATTGCAGTCAGGAAAGGAGCTCTGATTGAATTGGATCTGGCTGATTTTTACTACTGTCTTGCTTGACGTGATGCACCTGTGGACCCAGTTCCTCTACCAGTCTCTTCTGTTGAGGCAGAATGAATCCTGAAGCAAATGTGTTACTCACAGGTTCTCCTGGCTCGTTGCCACCCAGAATTCGGAACCCAAACCCGGTGTCTTTCCTCCACAGGAAAATGTCCTGCTCTTGATAATCAGGTACTGAAAAGGGGGTAAAAACCATCTGATGAATAATTTGGCAAGGCAATATGTTATTTCACCCCCCATTTTAACAACAAAAGGTAAAACTGTGATCTGCACTTCCTCAACTCTACCCATCCAAAATACATCTCCTGAGAATAACTAGCGCAGTGTTTTGCCATCCCATCTGCATTGTTATTTCAAGTACAAATCCAATGCGTTGTTCCCACAACAGTCAGCAATGGCTAATGTCCTCTGGGGAAAAGCATTTCTAATTGGAGCCACTTTGAAATATAAAATAAAGATTTTGTTTTAAGGCTTAATTTGACAACCACCTCTCCAATGAAACAACATTCTAAGGCAGAGCTGTATAACCCTGATCATTGGACTACACCTGATTCTGTTTTACATCAACTCAGTTACTCAACTGAACCCTCTTCTGAATGAATATTGGGCATACATAAACTTTATAAAAAATGTTTGCACCTCTGAACCCTATGGAAATTTCACATAAAAACCGAAATGTAAAATGTGTGTGTATGAGCTCAACTAGGAACTCGGTTAGAAAAAAAGCCAGAACACAGCCAGGTTTCGAGATCCAGAGCGGCGAGAACCTGCCTGAGAGAAAAAACACATCTTTTTTAGCACTAAGAGCAGTGTCCGCCAATTGTGAATTGCAGCAGCTGCCAGTGTCACAGGTCAGAATTACAAATTTTATATCTATAGTGCCAGTGTCAAAAACTCTTACAGTGTTTAAAAATTGGATTTGACCACATACTCCAGATACGGCAAGCGAGCAGAGAGAGCTACAGGAGAACACTTGTACTGCAGTTCCCATACCGCAGTGGGCGATTTTGCAGCTCTGTGCAAGCTGAAGAGTCAAAAACAATCTGAAGCACTCTTCAGTCAGAGGAATCTTGACTGCAAAAGTGCTGATGAAACAGCAGGTGAAGGAAACAAAGAAAATAAAAAAAATCCTTAGGCTTAAAGCTTTTAACCATAGCAAAGCAATCTTAAATGATATCCGGGATGCATATTGTAACAGATATGGCAAATTAAAAGGCGCCTGAAAATCTGTCTGCTGTTTTCAGAGTTACTTCTTTGCTAATAATTTAGAAAGTGGCTAATTGAATTGTAGGGATTTGATTGAAGTTAATAAACTTCTTCATTGCCATTATGGAACAAAAATGAAAGGAAATCATAGATTGTTTTGCTGCCTTTAGATTATTCTGAATCTGCTGAATTGCAGTCTAGGTTACACTGGAAATGTACACAATATGATTGTTACATAATCAAAATGCTGCAAACATGCTTTGTAATCAATATCTTGGAAGCAGGTTAAAGCATGATTGCAATATCAGTATAGAGTGGGGTTTTTTTTAAGAAAGGAAGACAACGGTCAGTAGTTAGCCTTTCAGGACAAATCAGTGAAGCACACGGCTTCCCTTAAATGGACAAAATGGGAGCTGTAGGGGAGCCCAGCATGTAATTTTCTCAGCAGACCCTGACACTCCAGTGTTTGGCAAAGCTTTCTTCACACCAAATGGTATGATTATTTCACGCTCTATTAGTATCATGCTGCAGTAAGTTTATAACCCAGTGAAAAAAACATTTCTAAAGTGTGGTGTTGCTGCTGGGTCTTCTCGTGAATGTTGCCTCCAATATGTCCTTCACACAGCCCATAATCACTTTATATAAAGTGACCCATTCATACAGGGTCCATATGACATTAGCAGTTGACTCCATTCTTAAAAATGGTATTAGCGGTGTAGCACAGTATGGTTGTCAAGTAAAAAGCAAAAAAGGAAAAACTACAGACAGAGAATTATACCCAAATCAGACAAGATAAGCTTAATGTCTAAATGGAGGAAAAAACAAAAATGCCTTCTGCTTACTCGAGTAGCATTTTTTCCAGTGTGAGTATGTGTTTCTAAATCAATTACAGCACAGCTAGCTTCCAGAGTATTAAACCTGTTTCTTTTGTTCTCATGTGTTAATTGGATTTTTTCCCCCTTAAAACTGGATCTCATTACTGGCATGCAGACTTCGCAAGCAATAGACAAAGTAAAAAAAAAAAGACTTTTAGAGGGAATTAAACTCTTCAGCTACTCTACAGCTATCAGAATACTGAATTGAATTTATATTCTGCAAAAATTGTCCAACTTTACAGTGAGCAGATAGAACAGAACAAGAAATTAGGTTTATGTTCAACTTAGTTTTAATTCCTTTAAGGATGAATCAATGTTGCCTCTTTGAGAGTGTATAAAGTATTTTATACTGTATGTACTGACTTGTTGCACTACACATGAAATATAATTCAGGTTCTCTGGGGTCAGCTATGAATGATATTCTTCTTAATTGGGAGGTTTATAAAGACAGAATAAAAAATCTACCGTCTTTCATCCTCACCATGTCCAGTTAGATACAAATCTGTAGTGAGATTGTAGGTTTCAAAATTAAGTTGTTTATTTTCAATATGTTAACCCATGGAAAGATTAACCACAATTTAACTACCTGAAACCATAACATCTCTTTAGTCTGCATTAGGGTAAAGTTGACTTTTATCTGTGATTTTTAATCTATGGAAGTAATTTTTAAAGAATTATCATTGTTGTTCTGCAATTATGGAAGACATCACTTCTGAATCTAATTCACATTTAATGAAAAAGGTAGTTGTGAAAATAATTCCAGAAAAGCTGCCCCTAAACTTAAAGACCAATAAGAAGATATTTCTAAATCACATGGATTAATACGGGCTATACTTTTTTAGTAAACAGGAGACAGACCAACCCAGTGCACTGAAAACACTCCCATGAACTAAGCTCTGAATACTTTGCTACATACTGTACAAGAACACAAGATAGTTCACTATACTGAAAGAATTTTGATATTTCTATTCTCTGGTACATTGTTCCCAAAGACAGTTCCATTGTCAAGCTATAGATAGGAATACGTTTCAGAGAGAGTTATACAGTGAGATCAATCCATTATAGCACATTAATTATTAGGTTTTGCAACTGCTTGAATTATGTGCATGAACACTGATTCTCCATCTATCAAGCCATGTCTTAAACTTCCTCTGACAATTCAACCACACCCCACTGCTAGTCATATCAACAGCCTTCTTCACATAGATGAAAGTTTTTGTCTTTTTTTCATAGATGAAAGTTTTTGCAAAAACACACATTGTAGTAAGAATGGATTACATATGTTAAGAAGGTATCATATGCAAAGCGAATTGTTCTACAAAAGAAATTAACGGTATTATGAGAGCTCTCCAACTTGGATGGGCAAGTTTTGTTGCCCACACATAAGGGTAACGAACCACAAAAAGCCGAGTGATAAAAGAAACAGCTAAGCTAGAAGTGTTTTGCTTTAAAAAGTATCAGATAAAGACATCAAGTCTTCGTCTTCCTTTAATGCTTACTTCACAAACTGAATTGCTTTACTGAGTGGTCACTGATTTCTGCAAAAAAAAAGTCATTTTTTATTGACTTGACAACATTTCTCATGTGAACATGAAATTCATCATATTAAAAAGATCAAATAAGCTAAGGACGTGAACAGAACAAAAGGACATTAAGATACTGCTTTACCCCTCAAGCACTAGTAGCAAACCAGCTTCTGGGACTATAGACAAAAACTCTCTTTAGAACAGAGAATGGACAACAGGAAGCTAACTACACTACTTCGCAGTATACTTACGCCTACTTTCATACATGCTCCTCGACTGGGCCCAGATTTTAAAGGGATCTGGCTTCTTCTGCGCTGTGCCGTCCCCTGGTTCCTGTGGCAGCTGTATGGGCTGGGGTGGCTGCAGAGGCTGTGGGGGCTGGGGAGGGGGCGCTGCTCCCTCCGTGGCGGTGCTGCTGGAGTAGCTGGGAAGAACGGGGGCGCTGTGAATGGGCGACTCAGTGCGAAGGCTCCGGTGGCTGGAGACGCTGTGCTGGGAGCTGCCCTGGCTGTCTTTTCTCTCAAGTTGTTGTTGCTGCTGCTGCTGCTGCTGCTGGTGGTGTGTGTGTTCGAGGCGCAACAAAGGAAAGCAAGAGCAAAAGGCCATTACTGAACCTGATGGCACTGTGGTTCCGGGCAACCAGACTCCATACAATGACTATATGAACGCACCGATCAACTGGCATTTCTGAAAGCCATGCAGCCACATAGACTCCACATAGCCTAAAATGGCGAAATCAGAAATCATTACTAATGTTTGTGCAGAAGACATCACCTATGTTATCCTAAATAGTATATATCACATGGGAAGAAAAAAAACTCAACAAAATCCAAATAAATAACAATTGTTTGTCTAAGATTTGACTCCGAAAATTGGCAGATGCAAGAAGGCTAAGCATTTATGCGGAACGCATTGTGCTTAATTAAATGAGTGTCCTTAGAGTTAAAGAAACCTAAACAGACATAACAAAATGTTTATCCCAAGCAAAAGTGATGTATATGCTTGGGTAAAACTGTCATTCCTTCACTTCAATGGAAAGCTGAATGTATTTATAAACTGCATGATAGTAGTGCATACCAGAACATATTCTAAGCACATCTCTGTATTTCACCAAAGGCCGATTTCTTCCAGAGTCTGACACAGAAGCACACACAGACTGACATTTCTATGATATAAGAGTGAGTGTAGTCCGAGCTTCCCTCTCTCAACACTAATGTGAACTGACATCGGTCTAGACCCACTACCCCCCCATACCCTACACACCCCTTCACCAAAGTCACGTGACTTCAATAAGCATCAGCCCCAGCCATCACAATTATTATTGTCTTAATTAGCTCTGTGCTTTCTTTGAGGTCAAGCAAGAGAATGTGAGAATACAAAGACTTGGGTGGGAAAACCGGAGTTATATCCCATTCGGCTGTACTGCCACTTCATACTAATCAAAGTGCCCCCCATCTGAACCACATGTTCTACAGAGGCACCAATACGGGCGGACCCTGCGAGAAACAGCGGCAGTCTGTAAACAAGTCATTCTCGGCTAGTCAAGGAACATTTTACACTACACTGGTACGCTACCACAACAAGCATTTTCACTGTTGTGGAATTCTCAGATCTTTAAATACAGTTAAAACTTTCTAGTAAAATATATCTTCATATCAAAAAGTAAAAATTTATCACACCATTTAGAAATGGTATTGCCAGGCATTCTTGATACATAGTTGAAATTTACTGTGAACCTTTTTTCTATCCTCTTTGTTATTTCAAGCAACAAACACTAAAATTCCTACACACATAATAATATAACAGAACAGGTTGCCACAAAAAAGGTTTTCCATTTAGCTTTTTTAAAATTTTGTTGCACTTTTAATTGGGAAGAAACAGCAATATCACAATGTTATTAAACACCAATATCACACAGCTGTTTCTTAGATACTTTTCCTAGGGTTGATCTTCAAAAGCCCTGTTTTTTAGCTAAGCAATTAAAACACAACTGCCCTGTGTAGGAATGTGAACTGCCACTCTATCCTGCTCACCAGCCGGATGTCATCAAATGCCTAATTAGACAATTGCTTAGATTCAGAAAGAAGGATGATAAAAATGAAAAAAAAAAACACATTTTAAAAATAAGATCTACTTCTTTGGAAATCTGCAACACAGATCCTTATAAACAGGAGAGAACACTCTGATGAGGAACTTAACATGGTACGCATTGGTACTCACCAGCTTTGGACTCTTCTTTGTAGGCACCAGTCCTGTAAAGCAGCAGCAGAAGAGAAAACCATTAATTATGAGTGTAAATATTTTACCTTCCCTACAAGAAAAGATTTCCCAAGACAGATGGTTCCTAATGTAGCCTTTTGTGGAACAGAAGCAGCCTTCTTGCCAGCGCCTGAGTTATCGGTCTGCTCATATCGAATTAAGAGTCGGGCGAGATGTATCTGCATTAGCTATGCTGACTCGTGCTGCAGCAGCCCTGGAGGGGTGGCGAAATTCACAGACCTCGGCAGGCAGGGAAATTGAATACTTGGGCAGAATTTCAACTATTTTACCCAGCAAACAAGGGCTCTAAACGACTTAACGCAAAATTAAAGACCAGTGTCATTTTCCCTTTCACTGAAACCATCTTCGAAACGCCTTTTCAGCCATCCGCTCTCCTGTGAAAGGCTTGCATATTGAGAAGCAGATTTTGTTCTCTCTCACTTTTTCGCTTTTTTTCCTTCGCCCTCCCCCTCCTCCCCTCACAGGGCCTTGCTAGCCTTTCCTTGCTCTTCTTTTCTCTCTCTCTCTCTTCTCCCTGTCATTCACTCGCTCACACATGCTCTCTCCACTCTGCCTGTGATCGATCGGAAAACAGATTTAAAAGGCCTAAATAAATGATACACTCATGCAGAAATAGCGAACCTTTAGGAACCTTGATGAAATATTCAAAGTAGTACAAACTGAATACATCAGAGGAAAGGCTAATATTCATGAACCACTCTTTAACAGCATGCTTTAAAACCTCCAGCAGGCAAAAAGGCTGCACGCTACCAAAATAAGCCACCTTATTCATGAATAGTGCAAAAAACAGTTTCTTTTGAATGATGGCAAAAACGTGAAAACGTCTTCACTATCTGCTACTGAATTAGTTTCATCTTTCTTGTATTTCTTCATGAAAATGGTTACCTTGAAGGGAGACCCTCCAAGGATGGCTAAACGTAGCTCTGAGATGTGTAATAGGATAACTTATTAAAAGAAGACAAGGGGGATTTCTGTTACAACTTCTCAGGTGTAATATTGTTCTGAATGATAAACACGGCACCCTTCTGGGATTGCTTTTCGTACATAATCAAACAGTCCTTCAACAGACAAACAAAAATGTCTAAAATTGGATCTTGCAATAAAACACACTGACTAGCATTTTTAAGGACTGTGGAGATCTTCATGCTAGTACTGTCACAAAGTGTTCTAGCTTGGACACCTATTATCTGCTGTACAAATAATAAAATCTGAAACGCCATCTGCAGTACTCTTCCTCAGAAGCAGTACAGTACAAGTCATTAAATGTTAAAACTTAATAGCTCCTTGCTGCAGTACAGCTCTCTCTACATGATTTATAATTAATTTCAGCAGTTTCAAATCAAGGGGCTGAATAGAAATGACAAAGAAATAAAATATTATGCTTTGTGGCCACAGTGCTTGACAGTCTCTTGGAAGAAGTGTGGTAAGAACTAAATAAATAAGAATTAAAAAAAAAACTGAATAATGCATAGATAGACATAATTGTGACTTTATAAAACCCTTCAAAGACAAAGGAATAATGTTTTGAGTTTTGAAGGAAGCTTGGCAGAATACTGTAAAGCAAAATTCAACACCAGGGTACTACAACAAATATCTTAATATCTATTAAGAAAAACATTTTTTCATCTTATGAAAGTAAGTAGCATAGACTAGCTGTAAGACAGTACTGCAAACTTCAATTGCATACCTTAATAGTTTCAAAGAACACATCAGCTGTATTCTCAGTGCAAACAGAACACTACATCTTTACTAATAACTAAGGATTGCAGTTCAAGGATCACCAAATTAAATCAGGAGTGGACAGTATGTTTGCACTGAAAAGAGATGAATTAATGCTCTTGTAATAGAAAATGACCTACAAATATATTACTTCATTTTCTGTGAAATGACCTTTTCAGTTAAAAAAATAAGGTTTACCAGAGGCATCTTTCTTGATGATCACATCATACGCCCCCCAAAAAAAAAAAAAAATTGCAAAAGCAATACTTCACACACAATGGATTTTATTTCCCTTAATGTTATTGTCTGGTCATTATTGACAACACAGAGGCTCAGTCAAGGTTTTCTGAAGTATGAATGAAATTGGAATGTCTGCCTTTAAGTCACCCTCTTTTTATCAAAAAGAGCTAAATTAGGTAAGAGGCAGCTGCACAAGGTATATTTAAAGTGTCTCAATCCCACGAGGACAATATGTGAATGGCTTGCCAGTTGCCATGGCGAGGGGTTTCTTGGGTGAATCTGAAATATGTCAAACCCAGCGGACTCTAAATTAAAACTATTAACAGTAAAATTATCATGTACATTTGGCAGATAAAAGCCCCCATCTTAGTTCTGGTCTGTGAGAAACAGTCTCCGACAGGCTGAACCATCTGTTAGACAAAATGCTATCAACAGGCAGGCAGGATGCAAGACTTTTCAATAGCACAGATTAGAACAGAAAAGTGTTTTTTTAAATAAAATAGTTGTAATAGATGTTTAAGGTTAACTGCCTTAGGAGTCCAAAAACTCATTTTTTATTGATATCATTATAGTACTTCACCCCAAGAAATTCTAATAAATGTATTCCCTCATTGCTTGATAAATTTGTGTGAGGAAGCCACTGAGTGGAAGCGGCCATTGCATCTTGTTTAACTACACTGAAATATGTACCAATCGCAAAGATTAAGAGGATTCTTAGCACAAGACCTGGAAAGATGTCTTCAGAAGTATTCTGAAATAAATGCTAGCACGGTTGACAGTCACACTGTAGTCAAAAACTCAAAACTGGTTTTTATCCTCAACAGTACACAAAACTCTCTTTCAACACACTCAAGTTGCCTTTAAGAAACCGCCTAGTTTCTGCAACACATCCTGGGAAACAGTCCAAAAGGTTGAAAGGGGAGAAATAAAAAAGAAATAAAAAAATATTAATTGGAGAGACATTGCATATACAGTATTATTGAACTCCAGCCTGCACTGTGGTTTATTAGTGTTATTACTGCTTGTTTATGTTTACTTGCAATACTATTATGTTCATTTGGATTTATATTTGTCCTAATGATATTCCTTGCCAATAAGGACAAATACACCAAGCTTATGAAATCGAGGTTTTTTTGTAATAGATTTTTCCTGTATTTTGTTCTGAACAGCAGTCCTGGTGCTGGTTGAAGAACCACACTGCAGTACTGCAGCGCATCGTCATGGAAACAGGGAGCGTAGATCGCAAGGATTTACTACCAGCTTTCAGAGTGTCAAGGTGTGAAGCAGAGATGCTCATAATGAAATTTTCTCACACACACATGAGCACTCAAGTCTAAGAATAAACACCCATTATTATCATTAATTTATAGAAACACAGAAATAGTCATATATATCATATGGCCTCAGTCTCTATGTGATATATTGCTTTGTAGATTGCATTAGCATTTCATGATATCACTGCTTATTAAATTTTGTAACTTAATTAGTGATAATTCTGACTTTAAATATATGCTGCTAAATGTAAATGTATAATTATACATTTAGAAAAAAACAAAGCTTTGCAAAATAAACTGAGCCTTTGAAACTGTTATGTGGTATTCATCCTTGTTCCTGTGGTTACTTGATAAGCACCTCCCAATATGAATGCCTGTATTAAGCAGGAATGTAAATGCATTTTTATTACCATTTTAATAGAAAGAAAGCAGAATACTACCTTTACATTAAAGCAGCAATATTCTACTATGTTTTTTATTACAATTTATCTTACTCTAGGTCTATTAAATAAAGGGAAGCATCCAAACTGCCTTTTCCCCTAAACAAAATAGCCTTTTACAAATCTTCCATAAACACCACTATGCCATAGATAAAAAGAACTGCTGAGCACTTCCAACATTACGAAAAAATACTAGTGTTCATTTCAGGAATTACTAATAAAAGTAATTCCTTTTGCAGTGAAGCACAGAGTAGGTCTGAAAACGTTGGTTTGGCAGCTAATATCTAATATTCTTATCAGCAGTTCTGACAGCACTGCATTCCATACAAAAATAAAAAGGACTGACTAATGGATAGGTGATTAAATCTGAGTCACTTGTAAAGACAATTAGATGACAATGGCTTAAATACGAATTTCTAGTGTTTCAATGCGATTTCTACCATCACATCTTTCTCTGCTTTTAAAAATACTCATTTGGTTTTCCACTGCTGCAGCTCAGTCAGCATTGATTGATGACAAAAGGGCATTACATAGAAGTCAGCACTTTATGATATAGCATTTACTGAAACACAATTACATACATATCTGCAGTCTTCCAAGGCAGACATTGCTGTTTATATTTACTAAAGGAAACAGATTTCTCAAAGTAAGACCCGCCTCTCCATTTGAATAAATAATTAAGAAATGCATGGTTATGGAGCTAATCACTCCTTGCATCCGAAAGCACATAAAATACAGGAAGAGACTAACTCCATTCAGCTGTGAAGAGCAGTACCCACCTGGGTGAAGCATGGCAGCCATTCTGCACCAGCAGCCCCACCACACAAAAAATGAGATGGCGAACTGAGAAATTACTTCACCACGAATCAATGGAGAAACTTAGAGAGGCCAGATTGTGCAAGGCTAGAGTGGAAATTAGCCAGGATTCTGGTGTTAACACACCTACTCCTTCAAACAGAGCCATGGAGGCACCCTGAATGACTATGCTGGTAAAAGCTCTAACCCACATGCACGATAAACTCTATAATCACAGGTTCGAATGTGGGTCATGCCACTAGCTGTCTGTCTCAGGGCAGTGCATAATTATGCAGCAGTGCATAATTGAGTTGAGCGCCTTTGAAAACAGGGTTGGACTAATTGGCCAGGCCTCTCTCAGCTACCCTTGCAGGTGTTTATCAAAAGACAAGTGGTCAGAAGGTCAGCTGGTCAGACATGCCTGTCCACACTTATTCTCCTGTGTCTGGTCATAGGGTTTGTAAGTGTCAGCAGAGTTGTGATAAAAAGGCAACTGGATAATCCAAATTGGGTGGGTATTCCAAACAATAATTGGTGATAATAAAATTTAAAAGCAGTGCTGTGGGGTTGGTAATTACCATGTGGCTGGGACCTTGGTTTAATGTCTCATTTCTGAAGGTACACATTTATACCTCTTACGGAACATATTGAACAGCAGTGTTCTCAGTATAGAGGGTCATTGATGTGGAAATCATGCACCAGACAGAAGAGTTCCATCTTCACTTTCCTTACGGATCTCCCATTCCACTACTGACACAGCTTGCTTCGCTTCTGAGATTCTAATGAATTAAATTTTGCAGACTCCTGTACTGACAAGTTATGACCACTATTCAAGAATAATTAAGTCATTAAAATCAGCAGCAGTCTAATGATGGTGTACTTAGTGTAAAATACACTTTGTGCTAGCTACCATGCTGATAATTACAGGCAAACAGCTTTGAATATTTAGGATGATCTATAACAAAGAAATTAAACCTAAATCATGATCTTTAGTGTTAAATTATCAAGACGATGGGAGATCTTACAAGAATAGCATAAATAAAAGCACATGTATGAGTATATGTGGACAAAACATTTTTTACATCTTCCTAAATTTGGGAAGAACTACAACCTCAACTTTTCTACATTTTTAAACTATAAAAATTAAATACTGAACAAGGATTATTTCAAGAGAAATGCAGAGTTCAGTTGCTTAAAAAGCCAAGCGCCACAAACTGCAGAATTATTCTTCTAAAAGATTGCACTAAGATAGCCTTATTTCCAGACAGCCTATGAACAATAAGACAACTGAACACTGCCTTGCAGACTCCTGAACGTACAGGATAACGAAATATATTTCATGCAGGATGTGTTGCATATGACACCAGTTTTAATGAAGTGTGTGTCCTTAGAGACTGAAGCACAGATAGACCAGAAAAAGTACAGTGAGCTACAGCATGACTTCAACCAATTAGAGCTTTCTCTAGGCTTTATAACATCTTAAGAAAGAAAAGCTGTAATTGGGGGGTTTGGAACTAGTGAAGGCTTCGCATGAAGAAAAACAATACTACAATCAAAAGCAGCAATTAAAAACCAAGGAAGAAATAGCCACTTTGTTAGACGAGTATGGAAGGAATGGCACTGTTGTGGGTTGCCTCTTTTGTAAACAGCTAGATGTTATTCACTAGAGTTTCTCACCACAGTTTATTGGAAAAATGTATAAATTAAAGAGTACAATTAGCATTTTCAGCAGTTAAAAGCAAGCTTAAAAATCCAAAATGCACACATTGCTGAGAACATTTGAAAGTGTTTTTCTCATATGAAGAAAATTCTTCAAACCAAGTTCATGTTATAGCACCAATCATCTAATCATAAATACAATACACAAAAAACCATTGACAAATATAGTAGCTTATAGTTATGCTTACATCTTACTATGCATTACTAGTGAAAATAATCAAATTAGTTTATCTCATCCAATACAGCCACTGAGGCAGCAATAGTGACAGCCCACCATGTAGCATGGTCTCTTCAGATTTCAGAGGATAAGCAAGGCTGCACCTGGTCAGTCCTGTGATGGAAGACCTCAAGGGAAATATGTCAGCTACTGAAAATGAAGAAGGTGGACCAGTAGATGGTATACTTTCTTCTGGACCAAAATTTCCAAACCAATGCCCCGGTATGCTGACCAGATACATTGTGCTGTAAAAGGTGCCATGACATCAAACCAAGGTCCTGACTACATGAACTGCGGCTACTGGAGTGTCATCTTGATGAATGCTGCACTTCAGAGGTAAATGAAGTAGGTCCCCTTTATGTCTTTATATAAAAGTAATTTAGGATCCTTTGGGATGAAAGCAGTATACAGTATAAATGCAAGGAATTATTGTTATTGTTGTTTTTACCAACACATAAGGGCACAATCAAAAGAAGATTGAAAAGGAAAGTAGATCACCATAACTGAATTATATTTATGATCTAAAGCAATTGAGAGAGCACTCCACTTCCTATTTTATAGACACATTAATGTTTCTGAGTCAAATGTGATTGATTAATAAAAGCACAAGGCCTGACCCAACAGTTTCTCAGTAATTAACTAATTGAAATTTCCTATTTTATCCTTTTCGTAACGGCACTGATAAAATGTCAGCAAATTATTCAAATTATCAATTTAATGTCCAACCCACGTGATACAACATGTGAAATAATTGTGTCATCTACTGTACTTTTGCAGTGCAAATCCAGATTTATGCTCATTTCACTAGTAAACAACAATATAGGTAAATTTCTTCCATTTTTTTTCCCTTCTAACTTTAAAAGTAAATGAAGTTCCATGTTATGGCTTTGTGTTTTTCAGTATAATTCCTAAGATGAGCAGCTATTTAGAAAGAAAACCACATACATTAATAATCGTGAAATGTCTATCCTCTACTTTCACCTGCTCTGTTTGGAACATAAACTGACATTTATCAACGGATTCATTTACATGCACATACACCTACACAGAACAGAACGCACGTCTTCTCTTTGTATTCCAACTGCTTAAACAGACATTCCCTGACAAGCAAGACTGGCCCAACTCACTGCTGAAAAGGAAACTGAATTTCCACAAACAGATGCACAGAACTATAACACCAACTCAATATTCTTTTAAACTCACAACCTGACAATTTCAATTTTAACTTGCCTTTTACTATAAATGACACAAAGCTACAGTTAAGTTAAATTTGTGAGGTGATGGACAGCAAGACTCGATTGGCTCGGGGGGGTTGGAATTGCAAACATGACCCGCTTGTGGAAATAAATTTTTTTTAATCATTTTTCTGCCTTGGAGGCATGTCAATCGCTGTCCTGCAGTGGAATGGAAGCAATCTGTTACCTACCTCTCTGAACCAGCATTGTGACCTCACTTCCTTTCGGGCACTTGCTCAACATGTCCACCACTTGATTATGAGTCAGGTTCTGGACATTCATCTTGTTCACCTCCACTATAATATCCCCTTCCTTCAGGCCTCGGCACCTGGGATAGTCAACGATCTGCTTCACCCTCTGGCCTCCGCCTTGCGGACTGTCTGCAATGGTGAAACCGAAGCCTTTGTCTCCTTTCTCCATGTGAACTGTAATTAGCTCGGGCTGAGTTGCTATAGAAGATGCCAACGTAACTACATCATTCGGGTAACTTTGGGAACTGTTTGAAGCCACCTCAGCGGAGGGACTGTAGGGTCTCGGTTCCTTCATTCCATTGACGTTGGCCGTTTGACTGCCATGGCTGGACGGTGACTCATAGTTTTCTTGGCCATTGACAATGATAGGCTCCTTGTCCAAAATTGCCACAGATGTTACCAAGCTGGTGTTTGGGTCATCGGGGTCAAAGGGCAGAGGATAACCCCGGCACAGTTCAAGGTCCACCATGGAACCAATTGGGATGGACTGGAAGATCTTCACAACCTGAGCGTGCGTGTATCCCAGGACACAGGTGTCATTTACACTCACAATCACGTCACCTACAACAGAAAAAAGTCAAGAGTTACCATGTGCACTTGCAAACAACTTAGGAGGTCCGACAAGTCTGATCTTCACTTCAAGTCATGGTCAAAATGATATACTGTCTAAACTATTCGAAGTATTTTAAAATGTTACATGTGAACATCTGCCCCTTCTGTCAATCGCATAATAGTAAAGGATGACAAAAATTATACAAAGTGTCCCATTAATATCTCATACTTTTAGATTTAACCTATCTGAGAACATATATACCTTTGACTACATTTTTTTTTTGTCTTTTACAGGAAAACTCTTAAAGAACTGGATGACAGATATGCCAACACGAATTAAAACTAGTTGAACTGTACTTTAAACATGACAGTACTGTTGCCGTCATAGATTTTATAGATGGGAATTACGCCACACAGATGTTCCATTCTGTAAGACCATTCTCTCCTGCATTAAGAAGGTTCATGAAATGGGAAATAATTCATCTAAGCACCTAAGATTAGAACAGAAAAAAGCATTGCTTCCATAGCTGCAACAATAGGACAAAGCCCTAAGAAGTCAATTGGTCATCTTTCACATCTTTCAGCAGAATGTGGTTCTGGCAGAACAAATGTCGCTTGTATACTTAATCTGTAACAGCCTTTGGGCTATTACACAAATAAATGTGTTGGGTATAAATGGGACACCCTATAGTAAGCAATAAAAACAGCAAGTTCTTCGGAACCACACACACAAAATATTTAAGCAAAGACCCAAAGGAACCCACCCGTTTCCATTTTCCCATCAAGAGCAGCAGGCCCATCCAGAACCAAACTTTTAATCTGAAGAAACTCGTCGGGCTCATCCCCTCCCACCACAGTGAAGCCAAACCCTCGGCGGCTCTTTTTCAGCTTTGTGTGAATGAACAGTCCTTTCAGCTCTGCAGGATTTCTGGTGAAGAACGGTTTTCCTCCTGGAAGGGATAATGTGCCACATTTATCAGCAACCATTACATGACTCCTGATCCCGCTGACGGTGTCCTCCATTCACAACAATGAATTACTAACAACACAAACAGGACAAGTAGGAGCTACAAATAAATTATGTTTATTAAGGATAATTATTAGCAGATGCATGTCTGACGGACAACTAAGATTGGGAGGTTATGTACACTAACTACTATTTCTATAAATGACCTGCAGTGAACTGTCCATCCACCTGTGATGATAAAACATAATTGCAATAATTTCACATTAATTCAACAGGAGGTGTCATTTAGTTAGACCCTAAACCAGGGGTGTCAAACATAAGGAGCCCACACCAGGATAGGTCTGCCAGGCTAATTAGTCTGGCTTGAATGGCAGGTTTGTTCAGAGCCTCGGCCGGGATTTAATTCACACTTTGTCTGAGACTGCACAGCCCACGCACAAGCAAGCAGGGTCAGTCATGTTACCATAACACACAGTCTCGTACACACAGCGCCCCCTGTGGTTCTTCATCTCTTTCCAGGTGCAGGGACACTTCCCGCTTGTCAGGGGCGTGTCTTTGTACAATAATGGAATGTGTTGGGAGAGATTGGGGGAGGTGGGAAATAACACTGCGTGTCGTGCCCTTATTTTCTTTCTTTAAACTGCACCAGCTAATTTTTCTCTGTGGCTGAACCACCATCTCTCACTGAAACTCTATCTTGTGGTTTCTTCATGGTCACATAAAGATATTTCTGAACATGGTAGTAAGGGCAGCATACTTAAGTTACCGAAGAAAAGAAAAAAAATAAAGGAAAAGAAAAATCAGTCACATCGTGTGGTTCAAGAGTCACATCATCACTGGCACTGAATGTATCAGTCCCTCAGGAAACTGGGGATGGTCATCACTAATCCTAAAAGCCTCCTTCACACAGAACTTTTGAGTCCTACACTTTACCATAAGACATTCATATATTTCCATGCACATTTATTTTCACCAGTAGTTGAACAATATGTTCTGACCATATTCTTTTCAGAGATATTTATGCAGTGTACAATAATCACTACGTTGTCTAACTATGGTGTTTGAAATACATTCAATAATGTTAAAAAATATCCCATAGTCAGAGTGCCATGAGCAAGTTTTGCTACATCTAATGAATATGCAATGACTGCTAAGCGTATTTTGAAGGGAGGTAATGTATGCTGTTGTAACAAACACCAAAAATGCAAAAACAATAATGCTAATTAATGGTAGTGCAGGATAATTTATAGTACGGCCCACTTGGAGTACATTCAAATCATATGTGGCCTGACATAGCAAAGAGCTTGACAAGAGGGTCAAGGGCTTTACGTCCTTCCAGGCAACATCAGCAGTACAGTGCACTGTGAATTTCCTCAAGAAACTCCCCTTGGGTGACAAAGCCAGAGGCGTTTAGCAGGAACAAAACGACTGAGGTCTGTCATTATGTAACTGACAAAAGCTGTACTTTTATACTGTATTTTGTGATCCATGTCCATCTGACCAGATAGATCTATTACCAGTCTTGCTTTTAAATTTGACAGACGTAACACTGAACAAGACCACAAGGTCCTGTTTGCCTTTTTTTACCTCCCTTGAAACCCATAAAGAAAACAATACAGAGACAAGGCTTTCATGAGGCTAATCTCTCCACAACTTTTTGGATGTGTGTCACCCAATCCTTTAAAATACAGACAGGTGGGTAAAGTGTAAAAAGAAAACAATAATGCAAAACTGGGTGTTTAAAGGATCCTGGGGAGCTACGGTGTACAGAATATAGTATTAAAAAGGCACTGACTTTTCACACCTAACGGAGGCAGGGGTGGAGGAGCCGCCTGAGGTTCTCTGTAGGTTTCTTGGTGGTTTGTGGAATAACTGGCGAGAGGGGCACCAGCAGAGGAATGTTCCTCTATCCATTCTGAAAGAGAAGGGCCACATTCCTGTGTTTAAAGACTCACAGGCTTCTCCAAGCCTCTTGGAGCTACTGGAGTACTTGTTAATGATCACATTCGAAGACTGTGCACTGCATAATAACTGGCAAGCTGAACTAGATCATGTGACTGCCAGAACAAAACAGTCCACACTAAATATAAATTCCAAAGAAAAAAACCTGTCAGTCCTTCAGAAGACCGCAAATTCTGCACATTATATTTTGTTGAGAGAACACTTCAAGAACTTATGCTGGCTTGATTATCATGGCAAAACAATTATGTTAATGTAAAAAAATAAAATATTAATTTTAAGAAGTAACAAAATACTGATTGAATATGAATGCATAACATGTACATAATTCTTATAGGTACCATGAGATGAAAAATTGTTGCAATACAATGAAATAATTGTTGAAAATATAGAACACATCTTTCATTCATGATTGGAAACGATTTGCCTTTAATGTCTGAATAGTTACTCCTGGGGACTAACACTGAGTCAAATATTACAGTTATGTTCACTGAAAAGAAGCTCTCCGTGCTCTGGCTATGGGTTCAATTCTGGACCTGGGGTGCCATCTGTGTGGAGTTTGTATGTTGTCCTGTGTGGCACTGGGTGCTCTGGCTCCCTCCCACAGTACAAAAAAACATTTGCATGTTAAATGGCTCCTGTGGAAAATGACCCTGTTGTGGTGTGTGTGCCCTGCGATGGACTGGCATTCCATCCAGGATGTATCCTGGCTTACACTTGTGTCTTCCAGGGATAGGCTCTGTCATCCCCATATCCCTAAACTGGACAAGGTGCTTCCAAAATGGATGGAAGTTAATTGAAACAAGCTCATATCTCAAATGAAAGTCATAAAGTAGGAAGCAGGAAAAAAACTGAGGTTAAATATTTAAGCTCAGTTATTTCTTGCATTTTTTATTGTTTTAAAATTATTTAGAGCTGTGAAGGCTTTGGGAGATCAAAAGGTTTGTAAAAGGGTTTGTGATGCACTTCTCTAAGACTTGCAGGTAAAATGCTTTGTTTTCTTCTCAGTAAAATTTGAACTTTGGTCTAAGGGACGTAAAACCGAGGTCCTGACTCTCTGTGGTCATTAAAAATCCCAGGGCGTTTCTCGAAAAGAGTTGGGGTGTAACCCCGGTGTCCTGGCCAAATTTCCCATTGGCCCTTACCAATCATGGCCTCCTAATAATCCCCCTCAATGAACTGGCTACATTACTCTGCTCTCCTCCCTACTGATAGCTGGTGTGTGGTGAGTGTTCTGGTGCACTATGGCTGCCGTCACATCATCCAGGTGGATGCTGCACATTGGTGGTGGTGGAGGAGAGTCCCCATGACCTGTAAAGCGCTTTGATGGAGTGTCCAGAAAAGCGCTATATAAGTGTAAGCAATTATTATTATTATTATTATTATTATTATTATTATTATTATTATTATTATTATAAGGGCAGATATGACTTCCAATGGCGATTTCCAGCACCACAGGCTTTTGGCCAGCAACAGGGGGCGATATAGCATGGCTAACCCAGGATCCTCCCCACCTAATCCTCCATCTGGACACCAACAGTGGGGACACTCCCTTGTAGTACAGCCTGAACTGAAATCTGTAGCTGGCCATCTACATGCTGTAGGAGGCATTTTGTGCTTCAGAGGAGCTGCTTGGAAGCCCCTCAGGATTAAAAAAAATGTATTGTTTTTAGCAATTCTCAAAAAGACACATACCAGATCTTATTCTACAATTAGACTGTCAGGAATCATTATTCATTAAGTTAAAAACTTGAACTGGTTTCTGTTACTATTTAAGTTTGTTCACCAAGATGAGCAGCAGCTTATAACTCTCGGGGGCAGGGGATGGGGAGGTGAGTATTTTTTCTTATCCACCACTGTTATTATATAAATTCTTCTGAATTTCGAGTGTATTACAAGGAACACTCTGCAGAGAAGGTAAAGCTTGCTGCACAACCCCCAACATGGTAAATGGTTTCTGTTAGATGCTAACAAAACCTGTGATGACAAAAACATGCGGCGATATGAAAAAAGAAAGAAATGACGCCATGCCTGGCATAGGAAACGAACCTCGAATGTACCGCTCACCTTCTGGCGGCTGCTGCTGTTTTTTCCTTTTGGCTTCCAGTATGGGATTCTCATACTGTGTCTTCCTGTTGATGTGGCTGGCGGCAAGAGAAAGACATGAATTGAGACAATGATAAATTGGTATGCATGTCGCCTGACACCACTGCTGGTGCTGAAGACTGTAAAACCCTCCAGCACTGAAAAACAAGGGCAGACAGTGACTTAACTAACAGAGCTTAAAGAAATACATGTACAGAGCATCAAAAGAAACATATCACTTTTATTACTATTATTAAGTATCATTCTTGTAGCAAGTGAACTGACGTGTAATTAAACAGACGTGTAAATTCATTTTGCCGATTATTTGTCATCACCAGGCCATGTGAAAATCACAGGCTAGCAGGTTGTGTGGCCACCATTTGAAGCAATAAGGCTTATGTACATGTATATGAACAATGCATGCTTTTAATGCTATCATGTAGGATTAGAACCTGGGCAAGAATGCATGTTCACATGTGAGCTCATCCCACAATAATTCCGTGGGGCTCAAGTCTTCAGAGAAGAGCATCCACGTTAACCGCCACATTTTCGTCTTGCAAGAAAGCTGCTGATACACAAGTGCCACGATGACGCGCATGTTGCAACATTGGTATGAGCTCAGAGGCATGGCGGAAAGTAAGGTACCAGGACTTGATCAATAAAACGCCATGCAGTCAAAGATTATGAGTGGAGTTCTACAGCAATTAGACACTCCCGCCTAGCAGTGTAAATGTATAAACATTTGTCTCTGACTGAGAAGTAGGTGGCCAAGCTGGAGAAGAGTGTAGAGATGCTGTGGAGTATCTAGAAAGACCTGAAAGACCAATCTTTCATACAGTGACAGTGACACCCTCTTTAGTTTCTCTGCCTAGACCATCACACTAAGTCCTCTTCACAGACTGGTATGTTTTTCACAAGAATTAACATATTGTTCTGCGTATCTGTGCTACATTCACCGACCCAGGTGGGTAGTGTAGGGCTGTGGACACAAGTCCTTGATTTTTTCAGTAAATTGGCTCTTCTACAAGTCCACCTGGCATTTCTGTGTCTTGTTGTAAGTGGGGCATACATGTTTTTTTTTCACTTTTTTCTTCTTGATTTTTACCATGCTTGACTTTTAACTCATTAAACTTTGTGTCCAATCAACTCTGATTAATGAGGTGACTCAGTGCTAACAGTCAGTCACCTGGATACATAACAGTCATGAATGGTATTTTAATCAGAATGAAACCAAAATATTTATTCAATATGCCAAATGTAGATATTTTTATATATCTTTTATGAATACTTTATATGTACCCTAACCCTTTTTTCATATAAGCAAAATATATAAGCATTATTACAAAAGTGTTTTCTTTAGATGCTCACTATATGCATCATGTGCTCATTCCACATTCATGAAATGAATAAAAGGTAGTATTTTTCTCTAATTTTGTAGCAATGCAATACATTCAAGAAGAGTATCCTGGAAACCCACATTGTCTGTGACCCATGAACTGAACCATGTAACATGGAATTAGAACAAGCTCAAGCATATCAAGGAAATTCAGCAAATGTTTATATGATGCTGCTATTGTAACAAGTGGAATAATAAAAATGACAATACGCAATATGTGATTACAAATATCAAACCATTTAAAGATAATTAGTATCTTTTTGACACTAGATCTCAATGCACCCTTTCAACAATGCACACAAAGGCCATTACAAATTCCCATCAAAGTTGAAAACTTACTCTACATAGTAAACACCATATACTGGGTCATCTATTTTTTCCCATCCAGCTGGTAGTTCTGAAAAAGAACAAAGAAAAAGGGAGGATAAGCTTCAAATAAACACAACCCCAAAGTGAGGTTTACAATTTAAAGCTCCCTGCTGCTTGACCCTTACAGCTTCTGTCAAGGCCAACTCTTCGAACAGTTAAACCCAATGGGTGTGTGGAAACTAGGCAGAAACGTTTCTCATTTGCCAAAATTAGTCAAAGAGGAATTCGTCTTAGGATAGGAACAGTGGAAAAAAAAATCTAAATCTTATAGCAACTGGACACATGACAGATTACACAAGTCTCAACAAACAAAGTGTGATTGATACATTTAATTGATGTTTATCAGAATATTCTTGGCTTCTAAACAAGAACATTATGTCTTATTCTGAAAAGAAACATCAAGTGAAAAGGCCTGCAACATGGTACTTTCAAGAATTATTACAAGTACACATCCACATTGTTTCCTTAGAAACCTAGCCCGATGATACCGATATCCAAAGGTTTTTTATAGAAACAAATGTAATTTTGAACTATAAACGTCCATAAACGTTTCAAGACTTTCCAATCAGAATACAGCAGCAACACCAAGGAGAGTTCACAAGCCACTGTCTCACTGCAGTTTAATGAATAAATAATTCAGCTGTCTTTCACCGACTCCAAAAGATGCCAACTGCTGTCTAGGCGATCCAATCAAAATAGCACATACTTCGCCAATTTTACATACATCTTTTCTTATGCACCTGTCCAGGAGCTTACACATAAATTAAAAATAAGTGATTTTGTACTATTTACCCTTTTGTAGCTTTTTATAATGCTATTGGGTGAGTTTTATTATGATTACTCTGACATGCAAAAATAAATAAAACAAAACATTATGTGAGTGATTACACTTTAAGCCAGCTGGGGAGTTGTCAACATCTTTATATAATAAACAGTAGCTATGACGTTTTGCTGCAAAAACAAATAATCATGCAATAAGCTGGTACAGATTTATCACTGAGACTATTACCTTGTAGCCTGTAACAGGAAATGGCCTTGTCTATGATGTTTAGTTTCAGTGAACATAATTATTTAGTACTGTATAGACTCTATAACTCTGTATAATTTACTATAATGAGCCTTTGATTATGGTGCTTTCTTGCCTTTGGGGAACATATATTTTAAAGAAGGAGATTCTATTTGTATTAGCAATTAAATTAATTCCTTTCAAATGGAAGACTTAATATGTAATAGCAGTAACCATTTATTCAAATGTATATATGCCTATATTGCCAATCGACTATTTCTGTTGCTTAACAATTTAATTAAATGTAGAACATGCTTCACTCCCTCACGTAAAGCATGCACATAGTCTGCTTTCAATTTACAGGTGATTAAGAGACATCATCTAGCGACAAGTGTTTCTCCTCTTCCTTCCACGTTGTTATATTAAAAATGGCTTAGAGCACTCCCAAATACTGCAGGCTACAAATGAATAAAACAGGAAAAATACTTCTGTTGGCTGTTGGTAGTTTTCACACATTACAATTCCGTTATGGAGAAGCTTTGTGATTAACTCTGATTTGCTATGATTCCTCCAATTATCTCTATTATAAAGTTTACCGTTATCAATCCACATCAATTTGTTTCACTGGTAACTTTGTCTATAATCTACCATTGTTAACAGGTGAGAGTTCCTGTTATTCCACACATTACTGATTATGAACTGTTAGATTCAGCTCTGTAGGAAACTTGTCACTGTATCTACAGCTAAATTTCTTCATTTAAAATACTTTTTTATTTTTGTACGTTTTGTACTCTTACAATGATTATAAGTTATCATCCTACCATGAGCCACACTTTCTGAAATTCTGAAAATCATATTAGCATAAAAAAGAAGGTATACAAGTATATAACATACAATATAGTTCACAACAGAGGTGCATAAATTGTAGCATTTTCCTACAATCAAGCAAATTTGCACCTTCAGCCATTTGAAATTATTTGATTATAAATTATTTTAGATTGCAGATTTAGAATTTGATTTTTCCTTTGTCCACTTGTATTTGATTTCACATATGGCACAAGAATAACAAAAAACGCTTCTTGCAAAAAGCTTCTCTTAAAATAAGTAGCACATTCATTAAAATATCATTGTGTTTTGTTCAGAGGGGAATTTGGAGACAAACTACCCATTAAACTGTTTGTAGCCCATTTTTATCTCTTCTATATCTGGTTTCCATTTAAAGGGAAAATGCTGTATGCTTAGACATCTCTTACTTCCCAGGAAAACCACGGTAATTGCGCTTTTGTGTTTCACAATCAATTATTATTGACTGCTTATATCTAATCTGTCTGAAATAATAGGAGGCAACTGTCCAGCTGAGAAGCCACAGAGCTAATAAGAAATTCATTCCACTGAAGTGAACCTCAAAAAGCATAGAAGGTATCTGAATTAGTGATTTTTTTAATCAGTGAAAGGAAAAATACACTAATCAACAACACCATATCAACACATTTTCAATGGGCTGGAATATCTACTAAACATAAAAAGAGTGAAAGTGGCACTTCAGAAGTATTCTTCATTCCTGACAATAAAATTATAAGCAGGTAGTTTATTCATTTTGTTTCTGTTCAAAAATGGTATACCAATATGAAGGATAATGCAATGCACCCAATGTGGTCATTTGTCCCACAACTAGTTTTTAGAAAATTCCATAAAAGCAGCAACTCTTTGTTCACTTTTTAGTCACAGTAAATTGTTGGTTACCACACAATGAATGAGGGGATAATGGATTCAAATGAAAAGTACAGTGGTAAAGTATAATGACGCCACAGGTAATGCTAAGTTTTGATAAGTAAAAACACATTAAACTGCAATTTGAGTCACTGTCTCGACTGGGAAAAGTATTTTAGGTTGTGTTTTGTTTTTGCAATGTCAATAGCAAGTATACACTAAAGCAAATGGCAAGCTGAAGGACCACACATTCTTTACTCTGAAAATTATGGTTTTCAGAAGAGTTTAAATTTGCAGAATTCTGCAACATGGAAAGCAATTCAGATATGAGGTGCACTGAAACATCCGAAAAGAGGCAAAGAAAAGTACACTCAGCTGCACAGAGCACAAGAATAGCTGGGCAGGTGGCTGTCATATCCCTTGAGGGTGGAAATCAAAGCACAAACAGAGGCATGTTACTTTACCTAGCTCATTGTCCAGCTCCTCAGTATGTACCCCTTCTTCTCCAAGGGAAAGACCGAAAATAAACAGAAGAGACAGGAGAGAGAAAGATTCAAGTACAAGCACCCAGCAAAGAACCCGCACCAAGCAGCATTTAAGCATAAAAAAGAGAAAGATGTTGTGCAACTTATTTAAAAGGAACAGAACATGCATGCAAGTTTGTCATAGCTTAGATGGAAATTAAACCACCTCATGCAACACCATCATCTGTATGCATCTAATTGTGCCACACAAGTAGTGAATGGATATTACAAATAACAGTGAATGTACAAGTAGATTTTATCAAGCTTCAGAAATTGTTTTTCAAACTGCCATAAGATGGCACTGTCCCTGAGGCCTCAGATACAAAAGGCTGTAAAGCAAAAACCTTTAGTTATAGCAGGAGAGTATGAGAAAAATTCCTCTCTACAGCAGTCTATTTCCAAACCAATCCTAGAAATGTGAGCAGGTACATTTAATGTAAAAAAATTGAATTCTTCACTGAATTTGTAAATAAAAACATCTATGTTCTACAAAAGCATATAAAAGCAAAGTATTCATAGTTCCTAGTTTCTCTGTGGAAGTTAACATCCATTTTCGTGGTAAGCTATGTTGAGACTCAAAACTACAGCCTGCTTGAAATGTATCAACAATTTTGTTCCCAGATAAAACCAGACCATCTCAACAGGTGGCAGCCTCTAACAGCACAGTCTTCTCAGGTACTGCTATACTCACTTTCCTCTCTGAAAATAATACTGCTCTATCTTGGATTCTTTTGTTAATGAGGTATTTTGTGACACTAGGCAACCAAGCTGTTGTCAGTGTAATTAAGCTGATGCCTGCTGCTTAAAACATCTTTGTGTACTCTAACATTCAAGATCATTTCATCGGTTAATTATCTGTCCTCTTGGTTTCGCAAAGGCTGCTGTTGATTTACCATGGTGTACAAGCAGCCATGCAATAAAGCAGAAAATAAAATCTGCTGCCACTAACAAATAAAGTGCTGTATATCCTGTAAGTTTTCATTGTTTATTCAAATTCAACTTCTGTCATACTGTATATAGGCAACTACAGGTTGAACCTGAACATAGGTTAATAGCTTACAAAGCCTGTGTGACAGTAAAAAATAGAGTTACCATCTTACCACAGTATTTCCTACACTCTGTTATTCTTTCAAGTGGGCACCTCTTGTTTTCTGCAGGCTGTTAAGTGTTTTATTTAGGCCCCTTAAGAAGACCTGAACTGTTTGTTTTGAAACTAGTGAGACTCAAGTGTGCCACCTACGGCTAACAATGCAAAACCAAAAATTACACTACTGTATTAACTACAAAGGAGAACATGCCCTACCATCATCTTCACACTCCTCTAATGGTTTCTGGGGCTTCTCCAGGCACCGCGGATCTATCCAAGATGTTGTTTTTGTGTTGTGGCTAAAAAAAGGTACAGATTTAGAATTGTTTAAATTTTGTTCTCCGATACACTAAGCAAGGTCTATTTTTATACACATTTTGTAAAATAATAATACACTTTATTTTTTATAGCTCCTTTAAAGGTGGCTTCTCGAAGCATTTATGTAAAGGAAATAAATCAAAACATGGTCCCCACCCAATACATGCAGCATGATTGACATTTTTTGTAGTCCCAAAAGTCAAAAGTGTAATTCTCAGGAATTGATTGTACAAGCAGATCACGTTCCATTTGAAACAAACAGGCTCTCCAATTAATGGTGACTCCATTGGAGCAGTGAAATGAAGAAGAGTGAAGTGTTTGCCAAAGCAATTATACTGGTTTGAAAAATGTTTCTAAATCAAAACTCAGTCCCCGGTAAGTACATTAGAACAATAACAAATAAGGCCATTTGGCTTATCTAGCTCTAGTTTGTTTCATAGTTAGTAGCTAGTAACTGATCCAAGAAGCTATTTCTTGAAAGAAGGGTATCAACTTCAACAAGTGTAGCGTGCCATACTCCGAAAACTCTTTTTGAGTTGAGTCTCCTGTTCCTGGTTTTAAAAGCACTTCTACAGGAAAGCAAAGAAGGTCCCACACAAAGGAACAACAGGTTGAATGCAACCTCTTCCTTACATCTGTGGTGTTGAAGTGATTAAATATCCAAGGCACACAAAAAAAAAAGTACAATACTAGTCTTCAACTGGAAGTGTCAGGATACTGATTCCCTTCTGGTCTGAAAAGGAAATAATTCAAGCCAACTAAAGTCTTCTACAGTTAAAGAAAAAGGCTTGTTGGGAGAAAAAAAAAGTTGCAGTGACATTCTGTTCTGAAGATGTTGCTATTGGTCTGGCTATTAAAAAGTGACAGTTCCCTGCGAAGCAGTCAGTCCCCGGACAACAAGGCCCCGCGCAAGAACAGCGGCACATACTCTATGAAGTAGACCTCCCCATTCTCCGTGTATGCCATCTCCCAGTTGTCCGGCAGAGGGCCGAGCTCGTCCTCTTCAGGAGGGTGAAGGTGTGGGTGTGGCTGCTGGGAATTTTCCGTGGTTGACGCAGAGGTGTTGTTAACAGTGTAGGACGGGGCTTTTTCTCGGGAGGGGTGCAGGTGGACGGCGGGCAGCTCGTCTTGTTCACTGGAGTCTCCTGTGGTTTTGGGAAGAGAAGCAAAAAAAAACGTGAACGAGACTGCACTTTCCCGATGTGGCTCATCCAGGGGACAAAGAAAAGAGAGGAGAAACCTTAAGTGGACTCAATTTATATTTCATTCATCTATTTAATCCCCTGTGAGCTGGAAACTGTGGCCAAAAAGAAAACTTGAAGCTGGCAACATGCCTGTGGCTTAAAATGCAAATAAGATTGTGAGGCCTATTTCAAATGTGAGACAGCAATTCAAAAGTCAGCCTCTCCCAGCTGGACAACTGTTTCAATTCCAGGCCCAGATTTTAGTCACGAAAGAACATTAACACCTTTGCTGGCACTGTCTCAGAGCACCCAGGATCTGGAATGAGAAAGAGAATCAACAATATCTCACCCCTATTAGGACTATTCTGAAATATATTGGCAAAACAGAACAAAGGGAGCTCCGAAAAATACCTGCCTTCTTTCCAAACGGAATAATCTGAGCTCCTTTTTTCAGGCTTTCGCCTTTTAAAAAACACTTGCTATTAATCTAAAAAGATATCAACAGCTCAAACAGTACTGCACAGTGCAGAATGTACAAGAATGTTTGCAATTGACCTACCTTAAAAGTGAGTTGTTATGTGAATTCTCAAATTCATGTGCTTTTTTGGTTTGAAATTTGAATTTGGGTGAAACTAGAGCATAGAAAGGCACTTCAGTGGAAAACGTTCTCTGTGTGGAAGGGTCTTTATAGCAGAAAGACACTCCCCCTAACACAGGAAGCCAAGGGGGTTGTGACTCCATTCACAGATGTCTTGCTTTTACAATACACACAATGAAAGTAATCCATTCACAGGGATTTCAAGAGACGTTATTTAGTAAACATGACGCTCATAATTTATGCACTCTGGTCATTATTGGAGTATTTTATTTCTACACAAAGCTTAGTTTGTCTTTGAAAGTTTTTAAAAGTATATTTTAACTGATATTTTCATGCAAACCTCTATCAATACTCAACACAGTGAAACACTAAAGAGAACCTATAGCTGTCTGTCTCTGGCCTAATCTTTCTTACAGAAGCTGCATACCTTAGATGTGAGCTTCAGCTACACATATAGATATAATATATAAGTATATGGATGCTTGTGTGCTACATTTCTACTAACCAAAACACATTATTATAGGTGGCTAATATAGTCCTAATAAACGAAAGAATAAAAAGTAAAGGTTTATTGCTTTTAACTGTACTCTGTTCTGTTCAGGCAGAAAGATCTTTTCTTGATAAATTTTCTGAATCTAAAGAAGGTGAAGAATGCTTGTTACATCTGGGAGGAATAAATATATTACCAACATCTTCATTGTCATTTGAAATGACCACAAGGACAATGGGTCAAAATGTGCACCTTTACTAAATGTTTTAGCAATCAAACTAAAGGTGTTCACATACACTTCAGTATTATATCAAAATCATTTTTTTCTTTCAACATCAAAATGTATGCTTACTCTAGAGCTATTTTATCTATGGTAGAAATGGGATATCCGGGATAGTGAAAGGTGAGCCAAAAGTCAACTTATTAACTGATCCTTCATAAATTTAATTCATATATTGGAGACCAATTTCAATCTTCATGTGTTCTAGAGACTAAGCGAAAACAATTTTAAGCTAACCAAAGAACTATCCTTCAAAGCCATTACTAACCACCTTAGCTGACAAGGAGGCACCTATAAGTTATGGCATCAGTTGAATAAAAATCTTAATTAAAAATCCTGCTTAAGGGTTTCTTGCGTTTAAATGTGTTGCACTCGCTGAAGAAAAAAAAACATGTAACTCTTAAGGCATGTGATACTTAAAGGGTTTATGCAATCAAGTCCTCAAACTTAATGAGCATTGAAATTGGACATGTATATGCAGCCAGGTGGCACTGTCATATATCTCTTAGAAAATGATGTGAAAGTAAGTCTCAACAGCTGCACCGATTTACCTGTAAAACTACTGTTCATTTCAGGCAGTTCGTCATCATCTTCATTCTCTGTGTGCTCTATTCCAGCATTGTGCATATCATTGTAAGACTTGGTCCGTTTAGGGGTTGACTGTTGGGAGCCAGGCAGGCTGTCTTGCAAAACATCGCTGGTATTCACTTTCCCACTGAGGGGCTGGCTCGGAGGCTTGGGAGTTCCATAATAGTTACCTAGGCAACAAGAGGACATTAGCATGTAAAAGAGAGGTAATGGGGAGGGCTGCTTTTATAATCAAGTCTTTGTACACACAGAACAAAACATAGAAAAACTATTTGCTTGCTATATATTTTTTGGCAGAAACAAGTGCAATTTAGTAATGAATTTTTTACTCCAAATATCTAGTCATGTAGAAATTTCCACTTCGACTGAAAAGTGGTTTTGTTTAGGAGCAGTGAGCATGTAAAATCAAAACAATAGCCTCTTGCTTTGAAAAACAAAACTTTAGCTCATTGCATTAGAATTTCAATTAAAATGCCTGCTCTATTCAGCTGTTTCAAATGGCAAGATTATATTTAAACAGGCATTTTATGAAATTACTAAATGAGATTCAGGTTGCTGGTGTCCAGTCGGAAAAGTCACATACATGCACAAATATTAGAGCACACACACACAAACTGTAGTTGTATAATCCCCTATTCCATCTGGGAGAGTTTAAAACATGAACATTTGCTTCAAGAAGGATATGAAATATTCTTCAAAATTGGGAAAGGGGGCTTTCAGAATAGATCAGAAACCAAAAATTTTCCAGAAGAAAAGAGAATTATTTAAATTATGCAAATAACAGATACTAGCAATCAATCTTTACACAAAAATAGAAACAGGAAATCAAGAATTTGTCAAGTAGAAAATCAAAGTATTTTATCAAATTTAGTTTTAAGCAAATATGCTTGGGATATTGAAAAACATCACAGATGTTTGTAGAAGGGCAGCATGAGAACCCTTTTGGCAATGGGGAGAGCATATTGATGTCTCCTCCTAATGTCTACTCCTCCTTGTTCACAGATGCAGGATTGTCAATATCTTCTCTGAAGAAGTGTTAAAACTAAATAACCAAACATTCAGAGAACAATGACAGAATAGGAAGCAGGAAACAAGATTAAAATACCCAGCAGTGGTATCAGCTCAAATGATAAATGTTTTATTCAGCATAGTAACTGTGACAGCTTAAGTCATCCAAAATTTTACAGACAATTTTATAGACACAGGTGCACAAGGAAATCGAATGTGTTCTGTAAGAAAAGCACTTAGTTAAAAGTGATGCGAGAGTGCACATCAGTTCAAGAAATACATTAAATAACATTAATTAAAAAGAAACCCAGCACTATTGATGCCAATCTTTTCCTTTAATCTTTATTCCAGTTTGTAAACAATGTTGAGTGATAACCTCCAACCTTACCCCTAAGGACCCAGCCCTTATTAAAAACAGCTTGGTCTCCTCCTTAATCTAGTCTCTACTTAACAGATACACATATTAGTGAGCACCTTTGATTTATTCTTTAATTACCGGGAGTACACACATTGAAAAGGACCATTTTGTATCATCATCACTGAGAAGTTGGTAAAGGAAAAGGAAAGTCTCAGCAAGAAAACCACAAAATGATTTTAATCAGTTAAGATCTTGAGAGTAAGGGGAAATACTGTGAGCTCCACATGATTTTAAAGTGCACATTTTATTTAAATAAGACTGAAAAAATCCCCAGTATCTTGATTCTAAAGCCTCTAAAGGATTCTTAATCCTCACTGTTTGGCCTGTAAAGAAAATGCCCTGCATGTTTCACAGGAAAGTGGAATTCCACATTGACTAAAAACCTGGAATCATTTATATTTAATATCAATTGTCAAGAATTGGCTCAAGCAACTCATTAAAAGCTTGAACATAATGAAAACGAGGAGAACCCCTGTCTCTTCAGTACCTGGAGTGTGGATCACTGCTCTAGATATAATTAGTAACTTTGTATTTATATAGTTCTTATGTTAATGGTTCCTTACATTTATATAGCAATTTTCATCCAAAGCAATTTCCACATACAATGGGACCCACTTCATCCACTGAAGTGAAGTGTCCACATAGATGACACAACAGCAGCCGTTTACTGCAAAACTGATCAGGAAGGACAGAGAAAAACTGCTTCACATTTGATTCAAACTGTAACTATACGAAGGCTAGATTGTACGAGCTGGCCCAGAGTGTAATTTTTGCCAGGACACCAAGGTTAATAACCTCTACTCTTACAAGAAAATGCCATAGGATCTTTAATGACCAAGTAGACAAGACCTCTGCGTTTAACTGATTCTATCTGAATGATGACTTACAGTGTCTCCAGCCACCTTACTGCGGTATTTGTTGAGAAGTTCTGTTCCAGAGGTATACAACTGCAACAGCAAACTTGTTTTTCTGAGAGGTTTACCTTCCCACTACTGTTGCAGCCCAACCTTGCTAGTATTGTCCCACCCCAACCTTGCTGAGTTTCCGAGATCCCATAACATCAAATCAGAAGCTGGTAGTACTGTCATCACTATCCATTCATGCAGACTAGCAAAAAATGCTTATTAGTTCTCATATAGTTGAAAAACTACAGTGCCATTCTGATACATGTGGTTATTTGTCTACCTGCTTAAATATAAAAAAATACTCATTCTAATGGGCCTTATCGAAGAAGCAAATTAATAATTACAGTATATCCTCAATGTAACTTAATTGTGTTTAGTCTTAATTCCCAAATAATGATTGAAAATAATTTATTGTCCAGTCTTATTTGCACATTTAGGTCTTTGTGAACACAGTTTCCTATTCATAAAATGCATTTTTCCAGGCGCTTGTGTCATCCACTCAAGAAGCAAGCCTCAGTCACTCAGTCAGTCTCTAGCCCTGCTCGGCCCCGCGCCAGTACCAGGTGGTAGCTTGTAAGGCTGCTGTCTCACGGCTTGGTTCCGTCTCGGCTCAACAGAAAGGCCAAGGGGAAATAAGTTGCACCATGGGGGTACAGGTCAGGTTTGCCAGTGTGAAAAGGCAAAAATTGAATTAAAAGGAAAATTGGGCAAACTACCTTGAGCGAACAAAAACTGGAATTTAGCCAGGACATCAGGTGCTGATATCGTTATCTTTCCAAACAACATCAAAAGGAAACAAGAAAAAAGAAGGGATTCATAAGGGTGCGCAGATTGGACAGCTTCAGTTTTCAAAACCAAACACTTCAGAGTTCTACTAAACACTTCAATCTGTTCAAAATAGTAACCATACTCTGGCTACTGCCATCAGAAAAACTTCACGTTCACCCCGACTAAATCAAGGCACTGTACACTGAACAATCCCAACAAAACTAAGTTTTTCATTCAGCGAGATTTACACCAGGATTTTCCAAGTTGGAGAAGAAAGGCTTCATCACAGCCTGCTATAAATCCTCTCACCAATACTGTGGAGCTTTCCATAAATCTGACAAGAATTTCACATGTGCTATAGTGTTAAACTGTGTAAAAAAGTGTTATCTAAGACAGCAAGATGTAAAGGGGGGGGGGGGGACAAGATTACAGAGGACAAGAGGTTAAGAAACTGAAACATTCGGGAAGATATTTAACAGTACGACGGCATTACTAAAATACACTCAATTAAAAATGTCAAGGTATTAGAATGATTTTGAGTTTGCAGAATTAAGGGCTGTAATAACCTAAATCCCACACAAAAGCACACTAACTAGTATATTTTATTTTTCCTCAATAACATCTTGCAAAAAGAACACCAGAAACTAATATAAGGTTATAACTGATTAGATGCGATGAGATTTTTTTACAAAAAAGGAGCAGACATTATTAATAACAATCCTTTATTTAACCAGACAGGTCAGCTCAGAACAAATTCTCATTTATATATTAGTCGAGTACATGTTCTAACATTGCCGACTGTTGAATTGTACTTCAGAGACATGTTAAATCACACTTTAATTTGGTTTCAATTTCATATGAGTGAGTTAGGTTTTAAATCACTCATTGCAAAATCAAATCATTTAAAGAGGAAAAAGGTCAAAGCTTCAAATGGTCTATGATTTTTAACTATGTCCTACAACAATTTAACAGGAAACAGGGAATTGAAAACTCATACAACCTTAAAATAAGGAACTATGCACGATTATGTTGTACAGTCACAACAAAGGACAATTATGCTGTCCTCTAAGCATGTTTTAACCACAGGGATTAATTTAAATTCATCTTAAAGCACTGCATATCCAAACCTACAGTGTTTGAATACACACACGATAAAACATTTTACCTTTAGGTAAATGCAGTGTCTGTCTCGTCTCATTAACAATTTTGTTAATTTACAAATTATCTGCTAAAAGGATTTTAAAAACAGCTTTACAAACAATGTAAGTGACAATTACTTATCAAACAGTGAGGCAAAGACTTGCTGCAAGGCTGAAAAGCATGACTGACTGATGAAGCTGTGGCACTAGGGAACCACTGGAATTACTGTCAGAATGGAGAAATATGGCAGTAATTAGGGGATGGAAATTGGGTTTCGAGAATGGTTTTCACTAGTCAGCAGAAAGTGCAATGGCCCACAGGTTCTTAGGAGAAAAAGAAAATAGTCACTGCGTAGCTAATTAGTGAAGCTGGAGTATGCTCTCTATGGACCAAAGTGAAATAACAAAAGGAAAACATACACCAGTGGAATTTTTATGCACAGTAAATTGGAACCACATGGCTTGAGTCAAACTAAGCTAAAAGGGTCCAAATTGCTCCATACTACAAATCTTACCTGAAGAAGTAAGGTTGTTTCCACCCAAAGCCCAATATTTTACACACAAATGTAACAAAGTTTGTGAATGAAAGAAGGCCATAATTCCCAACTAGCTCATTTGATTTTAGTAGCTTATTGATCCGATTTCATTCTTCTGTATATTGTCAAATTTGACAGTATAGTTGGATAGCTTGCTCTATATTTCCACAAACCTACTTTAGAGATCCTTTACTCTTCTCTGGACTAATTGCAGAGAAGCAATATCTTAAATTGTTAAATGCTGTATTCTAAATATGTTTTTTTTCCAATTATTGGACAAATGTAACATAATATTCCTTGATTTCAATTAATCTCTCGTAAATATATATAAGCATTCTGTTTGGCAGTCTTGATTGCTTCCTCACAAGAAGACACCTAGGTCTTCTACATAGGTATCTTTGTCAAACTCAGCATTTCTCATATTATATCTATAGTGTATTTTTTAACTTTATATATCTGCATGTAACATGGTACACTTCTTTGTATTAAGTGTAATATGTCAGTTGTTTTTCTCTATATTTCTAAATGTTTTTGAATTTCCATTGCTTTACTCTGTTTTCTGTTGGGCCTTTTTTTAAATTTCCTTGAATGTGTACCATTTGCAATTTTAGACATTTTATATTAGGAACACTGTCTCAAATCTTCTGCTGTTGCATGCTCAAATAACTCCCAATAACCAAATAACTGATGTCCCAACTAATATGTTGAATACCTTTTTTTAAAATTCATGTTGACAGGCACCTAGAATCCTACTGTCCTACAGTTGATCATCTAGCTTAGTTCTTTTTATCATTTCCATAAATTTTAATGTAACACATGTAAGACTATATAAGAATATTTTCTAGTATAAGTATATTTAAGCAATAAGGTACAAGAGGCCGTGCTATACTGCGAATACAGTCACAGTTAAAAGGTGGTGTAAGGCCCGAAGCGAAGCAAAGCTACTTTTTTGGAGGGGTGTTATATTAGTAATATTTCAGTCAGCTTGAAGAGTTCTGCAAATGGCCAGTAAATAACTTCCCTAGTTTTTTAGGTAGAATTTGTAGGATAGCATTTGGAGATTTCATTTCGGTTTACATGTCAAGAAAATCACTAGCTTACGCTATGCTGAAGAAAATAATGAATAAAAAAGTACCCGTAAGTATGCAACCTTACAAATCAAACTTACCTTCATATGTTCCAATTTCTAGAAGGGTCCCACTACCCTGAAGGTTCAGAAAGTCCTGCACAGACAAAAAATTATAATCTACTCCTGGGACCTCTCCTTCTCTTGGAGGCCGGGTTGTGCCTGGGGAAAAAGATATAAAAGGTAAGAATACATTTTGGTAAGGCACCTAATAGGATATTAATTGCAGAATATTCTCATTATCAAACTGGATTCTTTACTTTTTTTTTTGGTAACCTACAGTTTATTATTTTTCTTAAAAAAGGAAAAGAAAACGGGCACATTGGAAAATTTATCAAAAGAGCTCGTACACATAAGGAAATTAATGAAGTTAATATTAAAATGGTGTTAACTAACATTCCAACTGACTTATAGCATTAAAACCACTCAGTGAATCATTAAATAGAAATACACAGGGATTGGGTCTCAACTCAGTCTCTAATAAATCAGAAAGTAGACTAGTTAGTCATTTTAAAAAAAATTGCAATGACGGAACAGTCTCAGATCACAAGAGCAAACACACTAACACATCTATATTACATATACTACAGAAAATATGGGATGATTCTCATGAAATCCATCTTTGAAGGATGCTTCATTTTTTTGGTATACCCAATTGAAATGTCACTTCAACATTCCACAACGTTCTTCCAGTCACGTATCCATTAAGCTTTGGCGAGCATGATAAGGGATAACTCAGAAAGAAAAAGCTTAAATAGACCAATGCTACTTGGATTCACTGGGAACATGGTCAATGCATACAAGAAAAAATGAACAGATCTTATGAAACCCAAAAGGATTTGGATCTACTTTCCTGGTATGGGACAGAGATTTTTAATGGTGCAATTGAAGGTCAAACTTTGCTTTGACCATATTGGACTTACTTTTTTATTGTTATTAACAAATATTTGGAGTGTTTACAACCCTTAGCTTAAAACTATAAAGAAATGAAATTTTAAGTGCTCTCTAAACAGCTAGCAGCAAAAGCAGATTGATGAATTAATTCAAGAAAAAGCCAGAAACACATTTTAAATGTTTTTAATTGGAAAACTCAATGAAGTGAAAGAATTAGCAAGAGAATTACACCTTAAAACCTGATAGACATGATAAAAATGAACTATACAAAGTATGGTTTTCATTGCTAAAAAAACACATAAGAAATGTTTAAGCTTGCAAATGACTACCAACATAATGTGCTAACGAGATTATAGTTTTCATCACACTAGTTTAGGGATCATTCAGGGAAATGTGTTATAACACTGTTAATGTTAATTAATGTGTATGTGCCAAAGGCTGACAGATCTTCTTGAAAAACTGGTGGGTGCTCTTCAGAATACAAATCCCTTATTTGCCCTGTGATTACAATCATGCGTGAGGGCAAAGAGGTTAATTTTATTTTCTTGCACACCACCCCACTGTATGACTCTTTTAATATACTCTTGGAAATGAATCTAGCTAAAACACACAGGGTCCAATTAGATTCTCAAAAAGACAGAAGAATTAAGCACTGTCTAGTGCATCTTCACAGAACCACTGCAACTCTCTGGTGCTGCTCAAAATATTTCTTTGCTTTTATGTAGAACAATCAAGCTTACGAGGACAAATCTTTCTGCATGAAACACCATTTACAGCCTGGTTCCTGTCCTCAGGGAGCCCAGAGCTTTGTCTTGCAGTTGCCTGTATTGTGCAGGGAAACTGTGAAGACGACACACGTTCTGCCTTTGCTTGTGAAGTTATAAGTGAAACCTCTTCTTCTAAAATATTCCAGATGAAACTTAAAGGCGGCTTTTACAGTTGCTCTGTCCTGCGTGATTGTTGTCGCAGATAAAAGAATATTGTAGAAAACATGAGAAGAGTATGTCAAATTCCAAATATCTTCAGCAAAACAGGCTTTTCAAAAACATCTCCCTTTTAACCTTTCAGAAAGGGTAAAGTTTGCTAAAGAAAGGATTTGTCATGACAGAATCTTTACAGCACCATTCGGGGAAGGCCATTCACCAAGAAGAAAGCCACAGACGTGCCCAATTGTTGACTGAGGGGTGTTCAATGCCTTGGAAAATAAAAGAAAATGCACCCTTCCCCTTGTCAGAGTGACAGGATGATGGCCGGACACACGCCTGGCAGATGGCAATCCAAAACGTTTTCATAAACCATCTGGGACAAGAACAATGATTACAAGCCACGCTCACAAAGGATTTAGATGCATCTCACAGTACAAGCACAGCACAAAGTAAAAAGAGAGAGTATTAAGTTGGCAAACAACATGATGCACAAGGCAATGCTGGTTATTTCAATCTGAGCGTGGTGCTTCATCTTCATATATATTTAATCTTACTTGTACTTGTCCTCTTAGGCATTTACTATTATAGGAAAGCAAACTTCAAAAGCAGTCTATAAGGGTTGCTATGCTTGTTGAATCAAAAGTCCCATTGTTAGACAAGATCTTTAACAGGACCTCTGACTATACACTGGGATACAGGTATTCCACAGTTTCTTCGCTTTGCAGTTGCATCCATTTGAGTAAAGAAGCAATACCTCACAGGGAGTACATTCATATATATCGGGGTAATATGTGGATTTCAATTTTATTGAGTTTCTCTTTTCAGAAGTAATAATTGCTGGCCATGGGAGATGATAATATGAATGATGATTCTAGTTATTCCTCTGATAATATAAAAGGGCTTAATGTGGAAGTCCAAATTATTAAATGTAGTGAAGATGGTGTGACAGTTATGATTTGTACTCTACTATAAATCTGTAATAACTAAAAGTGCTTTAAGTCTGTTGCTTGTTTGTATAGGTGTATTTTGTTATTCCCTCTGATATATCCACAAAAAATATTGCTTGCTTTATGCTCAAATTCTATTTACTACAGGTGTAAGGAACCTAACACAATGTAAGTGCAGGGTATTCTTGTATTTAAACACCAAGTATGATTAAATTCTCTGAAAGTTAGTTCCCTGTTCATTTTCATTTTATATATTAATATTATGAAAACAATTATTTTAATGGAGACTCGTGTTCTACCAAGGCAGCATAATTTACATCAAAGTCTATAAAATTGAAGAAAAAGTACAGTGTTTTCAAAAAACATTGTTTTATTCTTTGATCAACCATGCCTTGCCCCTATTACTCCCTCACAAGCTTGAATTGGAAGAAGCAAAAAGAAAATGGAGGGAGTATTATTTGAGAACAGCCAAAGTGTTCACAATGGGACTACTAAACCCTTGTGCCAGAATAACAGAGTTACATCGTAAACATTAAGGCCTTTCACTTCTGGGTTCAAGTGAGGTTATTAGGTGACTGAAAGGCGACAGGAAAGATGATCTCAAACCAGCTCTAAAGGAAATTAATGCACCTTATTTGAAATCATTTGGCAGAGTACTAGGAAAATGGCAATTCAATCACCTTGCTGTACAGGCCTGAAGCATGCTGCCAGTTTTGCGAAGGACATGGATGTGCAAAATGTTATTTCATGATCAATGAAAATCTCTTTTATTTCATTCGACAGATTTTTTAGGTACAGAAAGAAGACACTGAATGAAGATGCATAAAATAAATCCCAGAAAAGACAATCGAAAGATTAGACCTCTCTTCACATGCAAGCATAAAAAATGATGAAACATCCTCCATAGAAACTCCTGAACAAAAGGCTAAATACAGCATGTTCAGAGCCCTCTTCATCACATCACAGTGGCTACAGAAGAGCTGAGATAAAAATAGTTCAAGAAGGTGTTGGATTTTTTTTTAATCCAGTAGAACTCTGAATGACAGCTAGCTAAAATAAAGTAGCTGAATTGTTGCAAGAAGTTGGAAATATTCATAATAATTTTATTTATGATTTTATTTATCCTAAAATACTTAAAATGAAACACTGCTAGATTTTATTTCTATGCATTTTGGTGCTCAAACTATTCTAAACAGAGTATTATTATATACAACTGTACTAAACAGAGTCAGAGATGAAATACAGAATGAAGCCCAATCTAAACTATGTGACAAAAGTGAGAAAATTGTCCAAGAATGGTCCCAATCACATTGAGATACCTTCTTTCAGAAATAGCGTTGTTATTTGAAGTAGGCAACTTCCAAGATTTCTTCATATTGGCTCTCCAAAAATATTATCTTTGCTTTCTTAGAGGACACTAAAAACAAAGTGCATGGCATACAAATGTAGAAGTCTGAGACAGCTCAATTCTAGCCATGGATGAGTCCTGAAGTAAACTGTCCAATCTTACGCTGGATAGGAATACAATTGTGCCTTTCATCCAGATGCACAGCACACAGAGCACTAGCATAACAACTGAGGGTCACATTCTTGACAGGAGAATTAAGATGTGAAGTTTTGAGATATGCCTTTAAGGCCTATCACATTGGCTATTACAGCAATTCATGTAAAAACACTACAAAAATGACATTGTATGCAATTTAATCTTACTTTTCTTCTTTCTAAAGCTTTTATTAAAATCTGCTTCCCAGAGGTGCAGTTTATGGGAGTTTACTTGATCATACACTTGGAAAACAGGGACCGCAGAAAGATAGCAAACCAATAATGAAACTCAACGCAAAAGAATAGCAAATATCAAACAGCTCGTACTTCCTAAAGTTTACCAAAGTATATACATACATATTATGCTATGCATTTTATGTATATTTAACTTATATCAATTGCAGCTTGTTTCTTTGTCTTTAACCAACCATTTTCCCCGCAAATTCAAATTCATGTTTGTCATTTAATAGTATACAGTTTAAATAGACACCAGCAGCTTAGAATTTTATTGATCTATTACATTAATGTTTAGACTCCCCACAATGGACTAGAGTCACTAGTCACTGTATGTCATAGGATTTCACATTTAACTATGTGAAATTATAAAGCTTAAACATAACTTCCCTTGAGTTAAATTCACACTTTTTACTATTTTGCTACTGTATATATCCAAGAATTATGTTAGCTTTTTTTATTGCTATCCTCATTGTCTTGATGAGGACTTCGCAGACTTTATATAAACACCTAGATTCATTTCCATTATAGTTTATGGCAGCTCGGAATCACCCGTGAAATCTGTATCATGCAAGTTCCCATTTTCTCTGTGGATCACTTTGTACTGGTCAAACAGTAC